ATGGGATGGGATGGGAAGAGTATGGGGATGGAATGGGGATGGTGTGGTTTTGGGGACAGGATGGGGATGGGAATAGAAGAGGAGGGATGGTGTGGCGATGGGGATGGGGATACAGATGGGAAAGGACAGGTGGGATGGGATCAGATGAGGATGGGGATAGGGATGGGGAGAGTATAGGGATGGAATGAGGATGGGATGGGGATGGGGATAGCAGTGGGATAGGAAAGGTGGGATGGGATGGAGATGGGGTGGGATGGAATGGGATGGGATGAGCATGGTGTTGAGATGGGGACAAGAAAGGATGGATGGGGATGGGGATGAGATGTAGAAGGGACAAAATGGGATGGGATGAAAACTGGGGTGAGATGGGAATGGGATGGGGAGAGGATGAGAATGAGATGGGGATGGGGATGGGATGAAATGAGTATGGGATGAGATGGGGATGGGGATGGTATGATGCCATGACCCCATGGAAGGAGGAAGAGCACTGGAGCCATAGCAGAGTGGGAAAGGAGAAGGGCAGGAGTTGGAGACAGTGGCATCCAAACCCTAAGAATGTCTGAAAGCAATGGGGAAACAGAGGCACAGCCAGGAGGGCTCTCAGCTCAGTGCTTGTGCTGCATTGGGGCTGACCCAAAAGCCCCAACACTGAGGAGCTGTTTGTGGGGCCGATGCACTCACGTAAGCCCTGGCCTCACCCCACTGATGGCCTCACTGTGGGCAGTGCAATTTGGGGTCATTTTCTGCAGCCTTTTCCCCACAGCCCAGGCAAAAAGGGTAAAATCAATCCCAGCACTGCCCTGTGTCTCTCCACACCTCCTTTAATTCATCTGCAGGTTGGGATGCTCAGCACTGCCTTCCTCTCCCTCCTCCTCCTCTCCCACACAGGGCAGAGGAGGAGGGGTCTATCAGGGTCCCCTCTTGGCCACATTTGAGCCAGGAGATTTGGGGGCTTGGTGGAATCCCAAGGTCCTGTGCAACCCTGAGCACATGGAGCTGTTGGGGAGAGTCTCCTGTGTCTCCTATGGGGTTGAGCTCAGCACGGCCCTACAGGAAGTGAGGTTAATTTGGGGTTTATCAGCTTCCCTGATGGCCAAATTGCATAAAACTTGGGAGAAATCCATTTCTTTGAAACCTTTTTGGGGTCTTGAATGCATCCTTATTAAATAAAAGCAGCGCCAGAAGCTGAATGTGGCCATCCAATGCAGTGAGGGAGGTTTGCAGGGTCTGACCCCGCCAGGCCGCCCCAAAGTGCCATTTGGGGAGAAATAAGCCATAAAAATAATGAAAAAAAAAAAAAAAAGAAGGAAAAGCAGCCTAATTGAAAATCTCCTCCTCCTTCTTGGTGGATCAATTCACTCTTCAATATTAATGAAGTCGCCCTCCCAATTAATTCTGCGCTCGCCTACTGGAGGCTCAGGGGTGGAAACTCATTAATTTCTCACCACCCAAATCCGGAAGAAATAACACCGAAAATCTGCGGGCTGTTCTCCCACTGTGCCGGGGCCGAACCTCCCCGACCCCACAGTGCCCCCTGGTACAGAGGGAGCAGCGCGTGGGATGAGCAATTAGCAGCAGTTTAATTGCACGTCGAGGCCGATGGCTTTCTATTGGTTTGGTGGCACAGTCCTGGGGACACCCCGTACCCTGGGTGCTGGCCAGGACCCCACTCCTGTCTTTCTCTTTGTCACCATTGGGGTGAGAAAATTAAAAGGAATAAAAACATACAGACCCCGAGACATTCCTGAGATATCTTTAATTTAATCTTCTCTCCCTCATTTATTAATGAGTCTCCTTGCTCACTCTCATCCCTGCGGTCCCCTGGCGTGGCTGGAAATGCCCTCTAATCCCCCGCTGTCCCGCTGCCCAGCAGAAGCTCACGCGCTCTGTTCTCCTTGCCCTTATCTTATCTTGCCAACTTAATTTGTCTGTCTGTTAGCGAGGCTCAGCTCTGCCTCGTGTCCCTGTTGGAATTCCCAATTGTGCCTGTGGGGGAGAGGGGGAATGTAGCAGGGATGGGATGGGATGGGATGGGATGGGATGGGATAGGATGGGGGTAGGGACGGGGGTAGGGATGGGGATCGGAGATGAGGATGGGAATGGAACAGGGATGGGGATATAAATGAAGATGACAGAAGATGGGGATGGGATGGGATGGAGATGAGATGGGGATGGAGATGAGATGGGGATGGCGATGCAGATGGGAAAGGACAGGTGGGATGGGATCAGATGAGGATGGGGATAGGGATGGGGAGAGTATAGGGATGGGATGGGGATGGAGATGGGATAGGGATGGGAATGAGGATGGGATGGGATGGGGATGGAATGGGATGGGATGGGGATGGGATGAGGATGGGATAGGGATGGAGATGGGATGGGATAGGGATGGGGATGGGATGGGAATGCAGAGGGAGATGGGATACAAGAATCTCACAGGGATGGAGATGGGACATGAAAGCCCACAGGGTGTGGGATGGATGGAGAAAGCTGGTAGGGCTGGAGAGGGGATGGCAAAGCCTGCAGGGACAGGGATGGATGGTGCAGACCCAGCTGGGTGCCCTCCGCTCCCCAGGGAGCCCCCAGTGCACGCCTCCCTGAGGGCAGCAGGAGGCTGCCGGGCCCCGCAGCGTCCTTTGGGCAGAGCTCTGCTCTCACCGAGTGCAGGGAGGGGACGTGAGCGGCGCGGTGGCCGTCGTGTCCTTTTAAAGTCACCCGCTGGCACTGAGCCCTCCGAGGCGCCGGAGGCATCAATCTCCCCGGGCCGTCGGTGTCAGCTGGGTATTTAGTGAAATGTTTCTTAAATGAACGCTTGATGGAAGAAGAGGGATGGCTGCGCCGTGCCGGGACAAGGTTATCCCTGCTGGCTGCCGGCGATTAACCGCGGGCACGGCGACGGCCACGACCTGCAGGAGCTGATCCCAAATCTCATTCCAGTCATGTTTGGGAGCAAAATACATCTGGGATGGGGAAAGGTGGGGCAGAAACTGCAGGCAGCTGGGGCAGTAGGGGTCTGACCCAAAGCACCTCCATGGGGTGGGCTGAGCGGGGGTCCCAAATGCGCTGCAGCAAAACATGTGGTCCTGCCCCCATTATATGGTCCTGCACTAAATTTGTGGTCCTGCATGTATGCTGTGCCAGCCCATGTCACCCTGCGTCCCTGTGTGGGTCCCACTGTACGATCCTACACCCCACCACGTGGTCCTGCACCCCTCCAGATGTCTCTCCACAGGGCTCTCAGCTCCCCCTCCCCCCACTCCCTCGGTCCCTTGAAAATAAACCCCCAGCAAAGCCCAGCTGAGATGCACTGAGCTCACCAGGTCTCAGCAGGGACACGGGTGGCTTTGGGTGCTGTGCCTCTGCCCTGTTCCCCCTTGATTTTAACCCTATAAAAAGCAAAGAGGAGGGCATGGATGCGATGGCAGCTCTGTGCCGCGCATTGCTATGTCGGTGATGGATGAGCACTGGGTACAACACAGGGACAGCAGCTGCTGGTGGAGCAACAGGCGAGGTCCCCGTGTCCCCAGATGTCCCCACATGCACATCCTCCCGAGGGCAAATGCAGTTCCCTTGTGCAAAAGCAATTCCCTTGTGCAAATGCCTGTCGCTCGCGCGTGCATCCCCTCAGCTGCAAAAGCATCCCTTGTGCAAACAGGGGGCTGGGGGTGAGGGGGGGGGGGGGAAATGTGGCCCAGGTTGCAATGTCAGCACACCGGGGTGCAGGACGCACTGCTCAGGGTGCGTTGTGCTCCCACTGCTGTGTGCACCATGCATAATGCATGATGCATAACGCGTGGCTGCAGGCCCGGGCGCTGCTTCGCCACCGCACAGGACAAGGGCAGAATGACAAGTGGGACCCGCAGGGCAGGCAGCCTGGGGACACCATGGGGACATCGTGGGGACGCCACGACAGCATCCCCCTCCAGCACCCCCAGACGTCCCCACCACGCACTGAAATGGGGTGGGAAACTGCTGCCAAAAGGAAACCTGAAGAAAACGCATTTTTCTCCCCAGATTTGCCCCAAATATCACCAGCTCTGTCCCTGCAGCCCCGAGGACCCACTTCTGCCCACCCTGAGCACTGCTCCCCATGCACGGGGCTCAGCCTGGGTTTGCAGAGCTGGAGGCGATGGGTGGGAGGAGGAGGAGTTGTTACGGGGCCTGGGAAGCGCTGCTTGATAGTTTTTTTTCCTTGGGCAAAGTCATCTCAACCCAACCCACATCCTCTCAGAAGCCGTCTAGACTTTGATGAATTTAATTTTGCTAAAAAGGGGGAGAAAAAAAAAAAAAAAAAGAGAGAGAGAGAGAGAGAGAGAAATCGGAATGAAATTTCCTTTGAAAGCACTGGAAGTTCCCACTGCACCAATGCCAGGAGAGCGGTGGCACAGAGCGGCCGTGGGCTGAGTGCATCCAAAGCTGGAGCACAGCACAAGTGTGCAAGCAGGCAGAATGGCAGTGCTGTGAGCACACGGGGCTGCAGGGCTGTGGGAGTGCAATGCTGTGAGTGTGCAAGGCTGCGAGCATGCAGCCCTGGATGGATGCAATGCTGTGTGTGCAAGGCTGCGAGCACGCAATGCTGGATGCGCCCAAGGCTGCGCGTGTGCAAGGCTGTGTGCAAGGCTGCAAGAGTGCAACCCTGCGTGTATGCAGTGCTGTGTGTGTGCAAGGTTGCAGGTATGCAATGCTGCATGTATGCAGGGATGCAAGTGTGCAATGCTGTTTGTGCAAGGCTGTGTGCAATGCTGAATGCACGCAATGCTGCATGCGCCCAAGGCTGCAAAAGTGCAATGCTGGATGTGTGCAAGTTCACAGGTGTGCAAGGCTGTAAGTGTGGAACTGCACATGCACACAGGGCTGGAAGCGTGCAGTGCTGTGCATCCCAACCCCACTTTGGGCCAGGTGTCCCTGTTGAGGCTCTTCCTGTCCTCTGCAGGCAATGAGCGACCGCTGCATTATTTATATGGAGGCTGCGCTGCGCGGGAAATCAGGTCAGCCCCCCCACAGCCCCACGTCCCCCCCTTCTCCCCAGCAGCATCCCTTTGACACACACAAAAGCAGCAATCCCATCTCTCCTGGGCTGCCCTGCTTTAAAAATAATTTTAAAAAGGAACAAATCCAGCCCGCTCCCAACCCACCCCATGGGATGAATGGCTGGGGAGGAGCGTGCGTGGCTGTGACATGTGGAAATCCATCTCTTGGGGCTGGGATAGGGCTGAGTGAGCGGCAGCCTTGAGTTTGGGGGTGGCACAGTGGCAGCCACCATCCCCACGCAGGGACAGCACTGAGACCCCCCCAGAAGTCCCCAGAGGGCTCAATCTGCTGCACGGTGCAGTCTTAGGGAGCGAGGAAGAGATGAGCGAGCAGCAGCTCCCCCTCCTCCCGCTTTGAATTTTTATTAAAACAAACGAGAAACCCGTTATTTCTTAGGAGTACAACAATCCGTGGGAATAGAAAAAGGCTGTACCGGGGTCAGGGGAGAACCCATCCAAATTGCAGGCACGCATTGGGCAGGGAGCTGATACACACAGCGTGCTTAAATAAAAGGGATCAGGGCACCGTGGGGTGGAGGCACCGCATGGTCAGCCCCTGCTGCCAGGAACTGGGCGCCCTGGGCCTTTGCAGGGTGATGCTTTGCATGGGGACACAGGGATGGAGGCAGACCCAGAGCCCAGCCGTGGACAGGGGCCTGTGGGGGAGACAACAGGAGTCCCCAGGGGGGTTTGGGTGCTGTCAGCACCTCGGCCTGCTTACCCTAAATAGGGAACTGAAACAGGGCAGTGGTGAGGTGGAGCTGGTAAGGGAGCTCCTGGAAAGGCACAGAGCAGGTAGAGGTTGGACAGACCCACAGCCTCACACTGCCCGTGTTTGGCACAGTCTGTGGGGAAAAAAAGGCTATAGGTGGTCGGCATGGGTTGTTCTCCTTCCTGCCTGCAGAGGAGGAGGAGGTCTTCCTGCCCCTTTCTCCTCTCCCCAGCACAGCTTCAGCCTTCGTGCTCTCCTCCTCTCCCTGCATGTGCTCCAGGTGCCAGCAGTGCCCCATCCGCTCCTCAGTGCGCTGCGATCCAAACCTCTTTTGTCCTCCTCGTGGAGGACAAAGCCTGGGGGGCCGAGACAGAGTAGAGCAGGTAGAAAAATAAGGGCAAAAAAAAAAAAAAAAAAAGGACAAGAGAACATGGGGAAAACTCAAACTGGGAGATGCTAAGAGGAGAAGATCCCAGTCCATAGCCCAGGTGGGAGCAGCAGGCATCGGGGCGGTGCGGGGCCGTGGGATGGGAACCCCACTCCTCAGGGCTGGTCACCTCCTAGAGCTCCTCGAAGAAGGCCACGCGGGACTTGGTGCTCTGTAGGGTGAGCTGCAAGAGAGCAGAGGGGACACGGGGTGACTCCCTCCTCCCGCGAGGCCCCTGCCCCTCTGGAAGCAATGGGAATGGCAGAAGCGGGGATTTCTGGCTGCAGAAGGTGGAGGACAGGTGCAGGAAAGGGTTGCAGGATGTGCAGCTGCTCCTGCTTGTGCCACCATCCCCCAAAACTCAAAAGGTGCTGAGGGGCAGTGGATGAGGTCAGAAACATCAGCAGAGCTCTTGTGGTGGGGAAGCCACAACAGCCCTGCCTCTGCCCTGCCCCAAACCCACAGAACACATGTGAGCTGTCCCAACAGGAGCTGCCTTCAGTCCCAATGGATGGAGCTGAAGCTGCTCATTCGCTCCCAGGGCTGGCCTCAGAGCTGAGGCTCTGCAGGACCCCAAAATCCACCTCAGCAAAGCTTTCTGCAGCAAGAGAGAGGCAAAACTAAAAATAATACCCCGCGTCAGAGCCACACTCCCGTTCATTAATGGGCGAAATGAGAGATGGAAGACACGTCCTCAGCGGGGAGGAAGAGAAGTGCAGTATTTCAAGCTAACCACCCCAATCTGCGTCCTGGGAGCAGTGCCACCTTCCCAACAGCTGCTGAATCACCACCAGGGTTGCCAAAGCAGCGCTAATTGCGAAGGCTTCGTTTGGCCAGGCTGAGCGGTGAGCCGTCCGCCGGGAGCGCGTTCTGCCGTTGCAGGGATCCCGGGCTGAGCCTCCAGCCCTGCACAGCACTGCCAAGTGCTTCCCTTTCCCTGCCCGCCCCACGTCCTCTCCTCACTAATTCCTTCACAGCTCTTAATTCTGAATCCCATTCGGAAAAGCTCTATTGCAGAGGGAGTTTCTGCAGGGGCTTAATGCTGGAGCAGGGCTGGCTCGGCTCTGTTGCATCGTCCCGTCTCTTTGGAGCTGCAGCCTGGGCTGGGTTTGAGCTCTTGCAGCAGAAAGTGCTCCGGTGAGAGGCAGTCCTCTTCCCTAGAGCCTGGCTGGGTCACATCCCAGGGAATGCAGTGTAAAACTCAAGTGGCACACAGAGGGTCACACAGCTGCTCCAACCCACGGCAGGGGCTGCGTCCTCCTCACCTTACCCAGCTACATGCTCAGTGCTCCAAAAGGGAACGCTTTCCAAAAGGGATGCTTTCCCCAGGCTCCTAAGAAAGACTCAACCCCCCACAACCTCCCTCTCCCCACAGCCTCACAGGGCTCCCCTCCAGCAGCAGCTCCGTTTGCCCAACAAGGGGGAATAAATGCACACACAGCACGTGGCTGAGGCCGAGTGATTAACAGCCAGTTACATTTTCGTCAGCGCAGAGAAGGGGGAAAAAAAAAAAATTGATTTACAAGCAGTATTATGATAATCTCCTTCCTGCAGGAGGGAGGGGGGTGGGATCCTCACTGCACTGCCAGAGCCAGCAAAGAAAATTTAGAGAGGGAGAGGGAGCGCAATTAAGCAGCCAGAGCTCCAATGAATCAGAATAGAGAGAAGGGAACGGTCCCACTCCCCACAGGCCCACGCTGGGGCTGCTCAGAGCTCTGCCTTTACCCAGAGCTGCTAGACTTATTTGATTTAAGAAAATAAACAACAACAGTAACAAAAAAACCCACCAATAAGTCCCTCCTCGGCAAACCCACTTTCCAGCAGCTAACCCAATAAGCGCAGCGCTGCTGCCGGCACACGGAGAAGCCACGAGGGCTGCAGGAGCACCCCCACATGGCCACTGCAACACAGCTTGGGGCCACATCCCAGCCCCTTTCCCCCTGTGCCACCCCTGGGCACGTTCTGCTGCTGCTCAGAAGGAGATGCTCAGTCTCTGCTCAACCCAAGGCGAGTGCTGCAGGCTGTAAATCCTCTTTACTGCCGCCCCCGCTCCCCTCCGTGTCCTCTCCATCCCTCCAGCAGCAGGTCGGACCTTTCCATTCACACATTTCCTTTTTAAAACCCAAACCTTCTCCATTCTCCCCCCCCCCCCCCCCCCCATCTCCTGTTCCCTCCTACTCCCACACCACCATTTATTCCCTCCCAAGCACGGGGCCTGGAGCACAACTTTCCCCCAGCCTCCATCGCTTTGATGAGAGCGCTTAAAAGAGAGGAGATGACACTCCAGTTGAAGGAAACACTTTTCAAAGGCTGCCACAAAAATAGCTGATAGGCCTGACGCTTTCTGCTTTCCTTTTGCTCCTTGTAAACAAGGAAATTAGGCTGCTCTGTCCCATTTTAGCTGCTGGGGAGTTTCACTTCCCGGCTCCAAGGCGCAGAAGCAAACACCTTGTCTGTTTTGGGGCAGAAATAAAATGAACCCAGCAGGGATATGGGCCCACAAAGCAGGGGTGCAGGATGCCTCTCTTGGATTAGAAAGGGGATTTGTGCCTGGAGCTGCTTTGCTCACCAGGTACCACATCCAGGCTCTGCTCCACGCTCCACCCCTGTAGCTCCCAGGGTGACAGTATGGCACTGGTGCTGCTCCTTCTACAGCCACTTGCTGGGTGCATGCCTCTTTCTGCAGCATGCAAACTTTCCTTTCATGGTGGGAAAAAGGATGCAGATGGCAACACCCCCATTCTGCAGCCCAGCAGCATCCAGGCATCTGCAGTGCCCACAGCAATGGATGCACACAGCCCCATGCAGCTCAGACCCATCTGTCCCATCCCAGAGCAGCATTGTTTTTGCTGCAAGGTGAGGCTCTTGAAGCACATCACCACCTTTTTCCCCTGGAATGGCCACAGTCCCCCACTTCCCAGCTGGCTGCTGGAGCACAGCTGCTTTCTGCATTGCCCAGCACATTCCTATGTGCCACCACCTTTGTACCCGTGACACATGGTTGTGCCCACAGCTAGCAGCCCAGTGTCCTCAGCACGCAGCAGAGGACAGGGCAGGGGGCACCCTGAAGGTGAGAGGATGAGAACAAGCCCAGACAACCCTGCAGTGCCCATGCCTGAAAGAAACCATGCTGCGTCCATGGGAAAACTGCTGCTCATGGCTCAGTGCAACACAGGGCTCATGGTGACATCAGACCCCAAGCAGCCTATCCACACTCCTGCTGTGCTTCCCATCCCAAGTGCCCCTACAGCAGAAAATCAAGCAGCATTCACCAGATTTCAGGGTGATGCTGCACTGCAAATAGGATCAGTGAGAGAAGCAGCTGGCAGCAGCACTATCAGCATTGGCCCACCCCAACACAGCTGTCTGCACTGATTTCCGTGGGTAAGAGCAGCGCTGGGTGAAGGGAGCCAGCTCCAGCCCTGGAGAAACACTGTAGAAAAGCCTAAAGGCAGCCTGGTGGGCAGCGTTCAAAGGAGCAGAGCAGTGCTCAAGGACACAGCAGTTTGGCTGGGAATGGGCACAGAGATTTGCTCCTTGCCCGGATACTTCAAAGGGCTTAAATCACAGTAAATAAGCATGACAGCACAAGAAGAAAAGCAACCGGAATGAAAGACCCGATTGTGCTCATGTTTTAGAGCAGCAGCCTGTCCTGGGAGGTTTCCTACACTGGAGGATGAGAGGAACTGCCTTTTTTTTTTTTTTTAATATTCTACTGCAGTCTAAGCAGCAAACCCTCCTGAAGCCAAGCCAGCTGGAGCCAGCAGCACCAGCCCACGGCACTACAGAGAAATCAGTTTCCAGATGAGGTGCTTGTGCTGTGCCCACAGAGCTCGTAAAATAGGATTAGCATGTTAACCACGTAATTAAACATGAAGAACTTCGCAGGCATCTTCAAAGGCAGGCAACAAAACCCGGAGGTCACAATGCAGTGCTCGCTGTGTGCCTGGTTTCAGCATGGGGCTCCTCCCCACACTGCATCCCGCTCAGTTGCTGGTTGACTTTTTCTTAGACTGCTGGTTTCCCTCCCTGTGTCACGGCCACAAGAGGATTTCACCACATTCAAGGTGCCTCAGAGCTCCTCAAAGCAATGGGTAAGGAACAGCGGGTATCAACAGGCAACAAGCAGCCCCATGGGGACCGCTGACATCTCCCTAGTGTGGGCTTTTTTCTCTAAGGAGATGCTGGGCAATGAGAGCAGCCTGGCGTGGGAACACCAGCATGGCTCTGGAGCAACAGTGACTGACACACAGCACTGCCCTGCAGTCCCCAAATGGCACCAACCTGTGCTGATCACTTCTGGTCACGTGCTGGGGAGAAGGCTGCATCTGAAGTGTGTTCCTGCATTTGCTACGGAGCTCCAGATGTGCTGGGAAACTGCTCCCCAGCCAGGCTGCAGGCAGGGCTCTGCTAACCCTCAAAGAAACTTTTAACAAGGGTTTTTTCCAACCGAGTTTGCCATCATTGTAGTACCTGCATTGCTTCCTCCTTTAGTGCTACAACTCAAAACTTGCTAGGCTGTGGGCACACGCAAGACCAGTCATGGAAAGAGCAGAGCAGCTTCCCCAAACACATCTTCCCTCCGGGCACACGAGCTCCTGGCTCAGCCTGCTGCCCAAGGCTGTTCCTCAGAGCACTGCCAGCTCTGTGAAGGAGACACACAGCACTGACAGAGCAGAAAGGAGCAGTGTGTAACAGAGGCAGGGGACGAGGCACATGGCAGCGTGGCAGGGTCACCCTTGGGATTCAGCTGGCTCACAACAGCAATTCACTAGCAGCTCCATCAGGCTGATGTGTCACACCACGCCTGTCTCCCTGCTCCTATGCCACACAGGGATAACTCTGCTGGCCTCTAGCAGGAGGCAACACGGGAGAGCTGGAGGAGACAATTACTCAGCGAACACTCAAATCTCAAAACTATCTCCCCAGAGGCAATGCTAGAAGCGCTATTTGAGTCATTTAAAAAGGGCTGGTGTCCACGAGCACGGCCTGCAGGGAATAACCCTGTTCCCTAGGAAAAGCACAGGAAACCTTTTCTACTCCTAATGGCTGTTATTTCTCAGGACTGGGGAAAGCTGGCAGCAGAGGAGAGCCCAGGACTAAGAAGAGCTGCCCCAAGGTGCCACACTAGCCAGTATCATGTGCTGTCCCCTTGCTGCACACTTCCCAAGCCATACCTGCAGACACTGACTGTCCCCCGCTGCCAGCTTTTCACTGCCCTGATGCTCTCCAGACATACAGGCACAGGCCACACATCCACGTGCTGCCCCACTCCAAGACAGAAGTGCAAACGTTCAGTCTGATATAACAGCTTTGGCAGCAACAGTGAGAAGGAAGCGATGGAGTTTGTTCTGGGCTTTGTTTGTTTTGGTTTTTTAAGCTCATGAATTTCTTTCTGCAGCAAACAAGGGGGCAGATCCCGTTTTACTTCATTAAAGAAATCTTCAAAGGCCACCCTGTACCTCCGATAGATTCCCAGCCACAAGCAGCAGAGCAAAACCAGGCTTGTTTAATTATTTAAGAATCTATGCCTGCACTCCCCCGCTGATGTTGCCAACTCAACTTCTGCCAAGAAAGACGCTTCCCAGCGTGGGGAATCAGGTGTGAAAATGAATGTGGAGAAGCTGCAAATGCTACCAACAGAGCGAGAGCCGGGCAGGGCTTCCCACACAGGGAAGGGCAGGTGCTGGGGACACTGGTGTCACACTGCAAGGAATGCTGTGAGATGGCAGCAATGGGAGCTGGCGAGAGTAGTGGACATCACAGGCAAGCTCATGCACAGGTTAGTGTTGCAGCCAGTGACCCCATCACCACACGCAGAGTACCTTGGAATAACCTACTTTGAAGTCTCAAATGCAGATAGGTCTTCTGCCCTGGGCTTGAGGCTAAACCAGCAAAATAAAATGAACACACACACACACACAAAAAAAATCCTCTGTGATAGGAGCAATGGCAGGTCATTTGTGCAATCTGTACAGCTTGCCCAGAGTGCTGAAGTGCCCAGCAGCTTCCCAGGTTGGGCAGAGGGCTGGTATTACTGATGCATTTCTCAACTACTATCCTCTTGTCCACCTCCCGTGTCCTGAATTTTCCTTTCCATCACAACTGTGAAGACAAAAGCCCTCCTGACCTCCCAAAGGCACGAACAAAAGCAGCCTGTAATTTCATTGATGTGTTTCACTAATAGACTGTTATTTAAAAACCTTTGCTTCTCTGGCTGAGATGCACGAGCCAGGCAGCCCAGGAACCCTCCAAGAGGCAGGGGAGAGGGCTGCAGCTTCAGGAGGCAGCTGACCGCAGCCCCAATTACAGGAATCTGTCAAGGGATCATCTCTAAGTGCCTGCCTAGGCACCTTCTTTAAGTGAGACAAATGGGACCAGCAGCTTTCTATGAACACATCTCAAAAAGCTACAGTCAGAAAAAAAAAAATTAGCATCTTCTGTTTACGCTGAGGGCTCTGAGTATGGAGACATACTGTAACAAAGCTTAATGGGAGCAGAAAGCTTTTCAGATTCTACAACGATAAAAAGGGTCTGTGAATATTCTTATGTTCTTCCTTCTGGAAAGACAGAAACCCAAATAGTGTAGAGCTAACACTGGGAAATTTGCAAACAAGATCCACTAGATTCATTTTCCTGACCTGATTTAGTGACCATAAGTTTCCAGCCACGAAAATCACCATGAACTGATATTTTCAAACCCTTTTAGTGTTTGAAAGATTTGTTTTTAAAACCCGTAACTGTTGCCACAACCTGCATGCTTGTGAAGTGTACCGTACAGATACAACCTTCCAAAAGCACACCTGCTAGCAAAAAGCCTGGGGAAAGCCTTTGCAGGTGTTTGGAGCTGACCACTACATCCCTCTGCACTGGTTATGGATGCATGCCCTGCCTCTCATTAGAATGAACCCAGCTGGGAGAACAGCAGAGTTACTAAGCTAAAGACAAAGGACCAGGTGTAAAAATAAAGAATGTCTTTTGCTGTGACCTTTCACGTGTGACTCCTGCACTAGCAGACCCAAGCATCCCAGCTCAGTATTAATCTCCAAAGCATTTCTACAGGCAAGTGGTTCCAGGGTCCAGTGCACAGGGAGCAGACACCCACACAAACCTTACTAGCAGAAGATTTTGCTGTTAGTATTTGAAGCTGCACTACAGGTTACTTGAGAACAGACTAAAAGTGAGGGCGAGGCTTTTGGCTTTTTCTGCTGAGAGCTCACAAATCAGGAGTATTTCTCCCCTTATTATTCCCCAGCCGAGCTCAAAACCGCTTCTTCGTATTGCCCTTGGGGAATAGCTGCATAAGCAAGTAGGGCTTTTCCTTTTCCTGAGGTCACTAGGGTAGCAGAACCCTTCAAACAGCATCCTGCTATAGCTTTGTTAAGGTTCAGCCAGACAGGCAAAGCTCGAGATCTTTGCATCCCTTCACAGAGCACTGAAGGGACAAGGCTTGGTTGCAGTAAACATCAAACCATGGCCACCAGAAGCTGAAACTCCCTGCGCCCTAGTTCAAAGCTAAGCAGCCAGGGAAGAAAGCCTAGATCAAACAATTTTATTATAACAACTTGTGCAAAATATAGGAAGGGCTATTTTGTTGTTGTTTTAAAAGGATTTCGTCAGGCAAGATACAAACTGGAGCTCTCTGATACCTTTTTAATAGTGTTGTGCTTGCTGTTGCCTCGGCTGGCATTCTCGTTGTGCAATATATCCAGAGCTGTCTCTCTCTCCTTCAGCTTCAGCGCCTCGATTTCAGTCTTCAGCTCATTCAGCTGCTCCTGCAGGTGCTTGCTTTTCTCCATATACTCTACCCTAGCACACACAAACAGTGCTGGGTTAGTAGTGACCTGGTACACATGGTTATTTTGTGGCAGTCAATAACAGAGTCGTAACAAAAAAAAACCAAACAAAAACATTTATCTTCATCATTTAAAGTGTATAGAACTGACATCATCAATTTACTACTTTCAGCTATTTGTTGTCAAAAAGAGAACCCAGACACCTGACCTAGGAGCTCTAAGTCATGTTGCTATAAGGAAAAAAAACAACAAAGCCAAGCTAGGGCAGCTAGATGATTTTGTAAGTCTCCCCATTTTTGAGTGACAGATAAACATGATGCAATTTCAGTCCTGAATACTGTTTCAAGCAGCACTGCTCTACTCCTCTGCAACCTCTCCCCAGCTCACAGACTTCCAAGGGCACAAATTCTTGTGGGCCATTTTCAAGGAAGAACCCTGATGTACCAAACTCTCATGTTTCAGAGGGATTTAATTTAAGAGGTATGACAGCAAGCACTGCACCCAAAATAACAGGTAGCATCCCTGAGAAGGAGAAAGGTCTCCCAAAGATAGAAAGGAAAAAATACCAACAACAAAAAAACTAGCCACTCTCAGAACTCAGCCTTAAATGCCTTCTACAAAGGAGCATCTGCTAGAGACGAGTCACACCATGGCAGCTTGTACTTGTGATTAAATACTGCGACTGGGGTCAAAGTACCAGCAGACTAACAAGAACCCTTTCAGAGTGCCAAAATTTGTAGCAAGGTTTAGCTCAGCACCCGAGGAATGAGAGCACGTCCAGAGAAGTCAGCGACAGCCTGTTATTGCTTTTATCATTTAGCAGAGCCAAGATCCTCCTGCTTAGAAGAGTGGGCTGACCTAGTTAGGGTACAGAACCAGGAATTACTGTGGTATTTTCAGATTTCAACCCTTTTTTCCTTCTGGCTTGAGGAAAAATTCTTAACCTCTGCCTCTGGAGTAGTGGTCTGTTATTTAACAAGCAGAAGAGGGTACGGAGCAGAGGCAGAATCAAGCACCCAGCGGGATCCGGGGTGCCTCACTGCAGCCCCAGGAAGTTACAACTGCAGCATTATGGCAGAGCCCTTCCAGCTTTGATCTGCTATCCAGTCAATGAACAAAGCATATTATTACTACTGAGATTAAAATCTGATCTGCTTTGATTTCTGCTAAATTTGTAATTTCGAAGGCTGCATTTAAACCCTCAGGAAAACACGAGATCAAAGCTCATAATCACATCCAAACTTGCTTGCGCATACTTTTTATATATAAACATGCCACAGATTCAAAGAAAAAGGGGTTAAAGCCCTAACGCAGGACTGCAGCCCTCATTCCAGCCATCCTGACATGCTCTGGACATACAGCAAACACACAAGCCTGCAATAGTCCACCATGCCAGCAGTCAGACTGCTGTTAACTCCTACCAACATAATGAAAGCCTACAAAAGAGCTAGGTTCACCATACAGATGGGAACTGTCTGCTTGCATTGCTCAGCATGCTTAAATTTGCCTTTCACCAAGTAGCAGAGATAAAGCTGTGACACCAGGTCCTCATCCAGAGGAATGGCCATCCAGCAGCTTCATCATGCTCTGACCTGTTAGCAATGACCTGGTAAATGAAGCCCCACAAGCTTTCTCCCCCCTCCACCTCACACCAGGGCTCATCTGAACGTAAAAGTCATGCTCTCCTTCCTGCAAACAGGGCACAGCCACAGCCAAACCCAGCTCTGGCTGGCAGCACGCCACCTACTTCTCTTTCTCGATCTCCATGGACAGCCTCTTCATGTCTGTATCCTTGAAGTCAAAGGACAGGCTCTCACTGATGAGGTTGAAGCTCGGCAGGTCGGTTGGCAGTGCTGTTGTGCTGGAGTTCATGGACTGCTGAAGAGAGAGAGGACAAATTAATCACTTTGGCCACACAGATGCTCCTACAACAACTATTTTGTAACGTAGAGGTAAAACCTGAGCAAAGCCTAAGCACACAGTACAAGGTACCACTTCAGTAAGTGTAGTAAATTAAGTGCTTTAATAAAGTCTTGACTGCCCACGCAGGTTTTGTCACTGCATCACTGAAGCTGCCTGTTGGGAGATTCCAACAGCTGTTTAACCTTAGATTTAGTTTTAAAAGCACAGGCTATGAGCAGGGGCAACGTGAGACCCTGTGTGACCAGAGTCCTGTGCTCCAGCACTCCTCAAAGCATTGTCAAACACCACGGTAATTCCAAAGGTTAACTAAGGGTGTCATTTCAGAAAGGTCCATGAAGATGCACTCATAACTTTTATTTTGATCTTTGCAGTAACTAATAGCTCCAAGCATTTAGGAATGGCGGCCATCTCTCAGCTAAAAAAATCTGTCACACCTGTAATAAATGAGCTTGTTATCAGTACAGGATGAGCATCCTGACTCAAATCATCACTCCACTCTTGCAGTCTGTTAGATGAGGTTGCAAGCAGCAGCGCACATCAAGGGTGGTAGAGCAGCTTCAGACAGCAGACTGCACACATGGATCTGAGTCACAGCTGCTGCCAGCATGCTGGCCCTTGGTTTAGACTAAAGGAAAACAGCCCAGTACCCAAAAGTCATCCAGCTCCCTGCTAGGGGTCCGTCCCTCTTCAAGGAATTCCTGTAACAAACCTGCCTGAATCAGGTTGCTGTTGTGGGATGGCAGGAGATGGCACTGCAGAGACAGGCTGGTCTGGCAGCAGTAGGGCAGAGGGTACCTGCCCCCAGGAGCTCAAGCTGTAGCTGGTAATTTCTTTCCCTTGTTTCATCTATTTAGGACTGTTTGCAGCCAGCTCCACTTCAGCAAGAACCACCAGTGTTATAGCTGGTGACAGATTTACGCCATGCAATAACCTCCCTCTTCAGTCTCCACCAGCCTGGAATTCACAAAGAGCTGAGGCTCATCTCCACTCCTGGACAAACCTGAGAGGGACAATTTCACCTGCTCCATGCAGAAATGCAAACATCTTGTACAAACACAAATAAGAAGGTGACCACAATTGCACTGCCTGGCCTGGAATGCTGCAGATAAGTCACACTTAATGCTGCGAGGAAAACATCGTTCCTTACTCCCAGTTTCAGGTTCTGCTAACACAGAACATGATAACATTAATTCTGCAGCACGTGCCATACGGGATAGCTGAGTACCTGAATTCCTCTCTCTAAGGAGAGGGGACAGACCAGTGAAGACATCTGCCTGATTTAAATACTTGCATCACATTGACATTCAAGACCCTTCGCTACAAGGCACACAGGTTTACAAAGCTGCTCCCATGTGAGGCTTTACAGATGTGCAGGGGAACCAGGGCCATCCAAACTATCCTGCTGGCCTTAAAACAACCTTTAACATTTATAGCACACGCTCGTTCTGTTTAAACAATAAAAAAATGCTACAGCCCCAAACAACAGCAATAAGAGTTGAGCACAAATTGCATTCAGTTGCTGCAGTCATCAAGTCCTGATGCCCATTTCTCAGGGTTACTACTGCTACTTCCTCCCTTCTCCTCAGCACAGCTCTTTCATGAAGCAACAGAAAACTGATGGAGAAGTAAGAGAGCAGCAGCAGCGAGGAAGCGTAAGGAAGGAACAAAGAAAGAACATGCTGAGTGCTTTCAAAGGCATGTGCTCAGCATCTGGAGCAAAGCACTTCCCTGCCAGTTGTGATCATATTGGGCAAGTCTTGCACGAGTCACAGGAATTTTTAATCGAGAGGACATGAGATGTCACTGGGGCATTGGATGACAAAGGGGACACAGAGCTTCTGCCTTATGCATTTCCTCACCTGGAACAAAATGCATAACCCTGTTATTACATTAAAGCAATTTCCTGCAGTTAATAGAGGCAAGCACCACGCTGACAGCAGTCATCCCTCTGGGGAACAGAGCAAATGAGATGGACGATATGAGGGAAGCACAGAGCAAGCCATGTCATAAGGCTTTCCCCACAGGGAGAGCTCCTCCTGCTGCTGCCACTGCCTTCACTTTGCTACTTGAAGACTTGGGCAGGCCCAGGACAGGCACTTCATACTCCAAAGAATCACAGAAGAGATGACTGCCTTTAGTCTTGCTGTGAGTGGAACCTGAATGGCAATGAAGGAGGCAGGAGGTGCTGCCAAGTCAGTAAAGAATGAATTGTTCTCCCAGCCCTGCCGGCCTGAGACTCAGGTTTGCTTTTTCTTTCTCATGCATCATCCACCACCACCATCACAAAAGCAGTTTTGGCTTCAAGGTCTAAAAAGACACCTGAACAAGCTTTAAGAAGCCAGTACAAGGGACTGGAAAATTACCAAAGAAAAATTTTAACTGCTTCTTGTCATTTCTGTACCACATCCATCCTCTCCTCCCTTCCTCTTTTGCTTGTTTCCCAGGAGGGAAGTTCTGGCTTGCTCTCCATGCCAGGGGACTACAGCACAAACTCTGGGAGAAAGGAAAATAACAAGCTCAGCACTACACCCTCATTAAGGAAGAGAAGAGCTGGAATCTGGTACCGTTTGGCAGAGCTGCCATTCACCTGAGGGACCCCAGCCTCCCAGCAGCAGCTTTCAAAACCCTTCATCCCTCAGGCCACTCTGGGCTTATTCCCTCCCTCCTACTGCGCTTGCCCAGCACGGTCCCTTCAGCCAAATCCTGTGCGGGAGCAGCACTTCAGCACATCTTGCTCATCCGTCCCAAAGCACTCACGTGGCAGAGTGAGGAGAGATGCTACAAAGGAGAGACGTGAGACAGGTGTAACGAGGGATGGAGATTGGGTGCTTCACACACAAGGGCTCAGCAAGGTACTGTCACGTGGATATGGGTCTAACAGTCACAAGGCAGCCAGCTGGCTTTAGAAAAGCAATAGACGTGTCTGTGTGCTGCAGTGCTGCTCCCAGGGTTTGGAGGGGGCAATAGCTGTGAGAGGGGACTCTGTCATCTAAATGGGGAGAGAAAAAGGCAAACCACTGCTCTTTGAGGAAAGGAGAGGATACAGCACTGTGTGTCTGGAGGCGGCAGCTCTGCACAGATTGCCTCCAGGACAGATGCAGCTGGAGGGGTGGAGCTGAGCTCCATGCAGTCCTGCACTACCTCCTGTAATTAGGCTTTAACTCTACAGGCAGGAATACAGCCACGCTGCTGATCGCTGGTGTGGGCAGCACAGGGATTTATGCACAAGAGCTCACTAGCTGTGGTTCTGCTCATTCGACTAAGGATGAGCACGGCCACGTGAGGGAACCTGGATGGGAGTGCTCTGCCCAGACATCAGTGCTGGGCTGATGTGGCCATTCAGTACGTTTTCAACAAGTATGCTTCACCCTGTGAGTAAATTAAACTCAGAATTCAAGAACTGGTGGATCCCAGAAACCTGCAGCAACATAAGGAGCTCTCCAAAGATAAGGTTTATAAAGCATCAAGCCTTACAGCACTTGACTGAAGGCCCTGAGGCTAAAAACACCCGACTATTTTCCATCGCTGCTGTTTCTTAAATGCTTCTGAATGTTTTTGCAGGGATCTTCAGAGAATCTGGATGAAAAGCTTCTTCATCACTAGCCCTCTTCAATCTGCCTCTCAAAAGTTTTGAGGGGAGAGGGGGAAGGAGCTCACACATACGAATAAAATTCAGTACTAGACAGGTCAGTAACTCCCACATATGTCTGTTGAGTTTATTCCTGAAGATGTCAAGTTCTTCCCCCTCCACCTCTCTGGACAAAAGAAGAGGCAGTTGTGGCAGGTGCAAGCTGCAGGGAAGGAGCACCCGATGGCTTCTGCAGGTCCTGCAGCACAATTAGGGAAGCTGAGGAAAGAAACTGCCAGACAGAACGGGAGCACTGGTCTTTTAGTCTGGTGTTTCAGTCTCTGGCAGCAATCAGGACCAGATGCTTCAGAGGAAGGTGTGAAATCCTCTTAATGGGCAATTACAGAATACTCCCCCTTCAATGAAGTGCGTTTTTTACCACATAGATGCACAGCAACCAGTTTATGCCAAAGAATGAATTCACAGATTTGGAACAATGTTTATCCTTCCTAATAAGTATCAGACCATCCTCAGTTCTGTATTTAACCCTATTTTAAAAGCTCTTATTGAGCTGGTCCTCTCCACATGCAAAGCACGGCTCTAACACATTTTTTAGATTAGTTCACAGTTTGCTGCCTTTCATTCCACCAGCAGCTCCCTGGCCTTTCTTTGTAGAATAAAGCAGGATAGATAGGGGGAAAAAAAAAAAGAAGAGCAAAGTGTTCTGGTGGACAAGTTACTTAGATGAAAAGGGCAAGTGTTCCTAAGTATTACAGAACAGCTGCTAAGCAATACAGTGAGATGGTTCATACCCCTCTACTGATTGGATGGAGACACAAGACTGCTCCAGGCTACAGAGGATGCCACAGTTACTGTCTGGAAACCTGCAATGACAATACAGATCATTCTTACCGTGTAGGATGACTTGCTAGTGATTTCCAAAAGCTTCTGCTTTGCTCTCCGCTCAGACTCTCGAGCCTCCTGAAGGTCTTGCTTTAGCTGATCAGCCTCCTTTGCCCTACCAAGGAAGAACAGCAAATAGCAATGTTAAATCCAAGCCTGGAGGCTGATAAACAGGATTATAGCATAGGTGTAAAACAGGTAGACAGCTGTCCCTTAACAAGGCCTAAACTAAGAAATCATTTGGGTAAGGGAAACACTGGCACCTCTGACATGTGGGACACTAATTAGCACAAAAATCCATGCCATAGAAGGACAGCTCTGGCATGAGCTCTGCGTGAGCAGCAGTAAGCAAAGCCAAGGGCTGGAGCAGCACATGAGAATGCCAGAAGAGGAAAAAACACCTTCAACATGTAAGCTCAGGCTTACAGCAGGAAAGGCAGTTTTTTGACTGGCAAGCCTCTACTAACAATTATTTACTACACTCAAAAAGGAAGAAGCACCCAAGATCACACCACCTGCAGGGCCCAACTTTTCTAAAACAAGTATCCAGACTTGAGCATTAAGAGCTCCCAAGGAACCCCCACTGGGTGGAAGCCAAAGGTGGTAAGGAAGCTTTCTCTGCTGAATAGAAATTTGAGTGAAGATTTCACAAGTTAAAGATCAAGGCAAAAAGAGATAGACAAGGGCAGCATTTGTCCACTCGGGCCGAAACCAAGAAAGCTCACATGGAAAGAAGTAATCAGTTTGAAGGAAACAAGAATGATTTTTTTCTTGCTCACTATCAAATGTGTTGTGAGAGCTGAGTTCTGGTATCAATAGGACAGCAATATCAGTTCTATCAAGAGACAAAAACTTGAAGAGTTCAGGAGACCTCAGAGCTAATCTGAAACGCAAACTTTACAACTGATAAGGAGAACTAAACAGGAGAGAAGAAAAAAAAAGGGACAAATAGAATAAAGCAAAATAAGAAGAAAAAAAGAAAACAAAACCAGCTGTTATTAACATTGTGAAACACTCCTGAGAATGCAGTGGGTGTGTGCAGAAATCACCCAAAAGTTGAGGTGCCTTCAGCTGTTGCTGTCAGGGTGTGAAAGGCAGAGCACCAGGGCCCTCTAGGTGATGTCCCTGTTCTTTTCACCACAGAATCACCCTTCCAAAGAAGGCTTCAGAGAAAGAATGTCAGCTCTACTCCAGAGATTAGAACAAGAGGTAGAACCACCATTCTACCTGTACCATTTCCTATGCAGGGAAAGCCTAGCTGTGGCAAACAGCAAAACAGAGAAACCGGCTGAGTCTGGGGGTCAGTTGCTGTTGTGCATGCAGGGGAGGCCAACGACTCACTGCAAACTCTGGACTATCTCGAGGTGAGCCACAGTTTTGCTAAGTCAGAAGGGGGCTGGAAAGCAAAGCATAGACAGCTGCAAGGTTGTACCCTCTGACCTCCTCTCTGACTCCTCCGCCATTTTCAGTGCCAACATCTCTGCTTCTAGCACCTTCTGTTCCATCAGTCGCTTCTCCTCCTCCGTCCGGATGGCCGTGGCTTTGATTCGCTGCATCTCTTGCTCAGCCTCTGCTGCTTTCTGAGCCAGGAGCTTGGCCTCCTCCTCCGTGATCTGAGCCTTCTCAGCCAGCAAATCAGCTGTTTCTTCAGACCTCATCTGAGAATAAACACATGTTAAGCCAGCAAGCACACAATGTCTCCTCAAATGTGCTCTCAAGGATGGAGCAGGGCCGCAAACTGAGTGTTCCACATGACACCATGGCTCACTGAGTCCCCTCCCTCTCTTCCATGAAAGCCTGTAGCCTCCTGCAGCCAAAACCTGGATGCAGCCAGGCTCTGTCCCAAATAATTCTCCTTTGTGCTCCTGCCTCAGCAGACCGTCTGGATGCAATAAGCTCCATCCAGCCTCCTGATCACCATCCACCAGCAGCAGTTTGAGAACAGCCATAGAACTGTCACAACTTTAGCACAAATGCTTTAGCAGTGGAAAGAGTCAGGGAACAGCTGCAGTGCCTCAAGAAACAGCTGCCCAGAGACTTACCAGGGCCTCGTTGGCCATTGTTGCTTCTTCTTTTAATTGCATCAGCCTTCTCTCCAGCTCATCCCTTGTCCTTTCAGCCTCTTCTCTCATTTGCTTCTCTCGGGCCAGGCGCTGTCGTTCCATCTGAGAAAAAGAGACAGGGGAAAGCAAGGAGAAATAACACAAATTAGAAATACTTTTCTCAGGGCTACAGAGAATTGTTACATGAGGGCTTGAACACAAGACTGCACTGCCTCCGTCTCTGCTCGTCAACGAGGGGGGACTTCACTAAATAGGGATGATGTGAATGTACTCTGTTCACACCATACTGAGCATCCCACTCCTTCTGTCCCTGTTCCTGCACCATTCCTGAGGCAATCCCCTCTTCTCTGGGCAGGCTGCTGCCCCACAGACTGCTGCAAATGGTTACATCTGCAGACAGCATCCTGCTGCACAGACTCACAAGGGCAGGCTCCAGCAAGCAGGGAACCCAGAGCTCTTCCTAAAGTTACCTATGGCAAGCTGAACAGCCAGCCAGACTGGGGTTAAGGACAGTCTGAGGGCAGCTTCAGAACATCAAATACTGACACAAAGTCAGGAAGGAATTTGAGGGATGTGGCTGTTACTTTCAATCAGACACAAACACAAATCTACCCCAGCACACTAGACACTTCACTTACAGATGGGGAGGCCACACCACATCAATCAGTTCCTAGGCACAACAAACCATCTCTCTCCAGCTATAAGAGATTTGCAAGAAACAACAATGCTTTCCCAGGTGGGGAAAAACCAAGCTATGTGGGACAACCCCCCAGAATCCTCTCACCTCTTCCCACCTCTTGTACACCATACACTATCTCTCTCCTAACCAACACAGAAAGGTTGCCATTGAGCTAATTAACAACCAAGCTAAACCACTCCAGCACCAGGGAGATGGGTATATTATAAATATCCATGCTACACCCAGGGCTCAGCACTGCATAGGCCACCTGCCAGGTTTAATAACGGAAATAAGTGTGACAAGACACATTTCTCAGCTCCTTAGACACCAACAGTGTTCTGAAAGTGGGATACTCATGGCTCTAATGGCTCGGCTTCTTTCTATTAAAGCTTCTCTTCATCAATTATCATTATGGTCTGCATCCCACTCAGGCCTTCCATTAACAAGAAGTCCTGATGTAAAGGGATTGTTTGGAATCAGTTAACAACTGTAGAACCTGAAGGGAGGACAATGTACAAGACAGCACAGTGGCTTGCTTGGGAGAGCAGCCACCCAAGCAGAAGCCTGAACCCTTCTGTAAAGCACAAGTGCTCTGAATTTGGGAGCTCCTGGGAAGCAACAGGCTCTTGCCTGCTCTCAGCATCTATGCATCGCTCCATCACCTCTTCTAGCAGCCCAACACAAGATCTCACCTCCAGCTTGTGTTACTCAAACACTTCAAAAAAACTCACAAAATTGCAAGATCTGCCCCTGAAGACACCAGCACTTGGACACCATGCTGCTCCTTCCTGAAGGACCTTCTGCACCACTAATGGCAACTCCTTTCCAACCAGAGGAATCTCTGCAGGAAGCAAAAAGCCCCATTCCCCTAGGAGCTGGCCCACTTGCCCTTGCAGTGTGACTCATGTCCTGTCTTCTCCTTCCAATTCAGAAGCTGCAGGAAGGAGAGCTGTGTCAGGTGGTGCCTGCAAGACAATTCACACTGACCCAGGCCAATCCTGGCTCCAGCACTGAGTCCAACGCTCTGCAAACACATTCAAAACCAAACGAAGTGCATCAAATTTGAAGCCCCTTGACAGTAAGACTCTCCTGGTGCAACTAAGTGCTTCAGTTTCTTCTGCTGCTATCTAGTGGCTTTGGTACGAAAGGGACATATTTATATTCTAAGCAGCAGTATTCAGATTAGCTGTGTGGGTTTCAGTGAGTAGAAAAGGTCTACGAGCAGAAAACAATGATTCATACAATCCAATTTGCTGATATATACTCATTGGCTACACACTGCTGCCTCCAAAGAGCCGTTTTTTGCCGCCTGGGCTGACCTGCAGCAGATAAAGGAGGCCAGCACTGAATTAGCATGCAGGCTGCACCCCCCGAAATGTCAGCGTGCATTCCATCACCATGTAATTAGAAAATGAGACTAAGAACCCCAACAAAGCACAGCTCCCCCTCACAGCCCCTGCTTTAATTACAACCAGCCACCCCAACACGCTACATCTTTTTAGCTGCAGAGCTCAGGAAAAAAGTGAGGCAGGGAAAGGTGCACCCACACTTCTGGGACACCCAGATTTGCTCATCCTTCTCATCCTCCCAGTTCTGCTCCTGAGTGTGGGGGCTGGACTTGGGCTGTCACCAAGCTACAGAGCCAAGTGGAGAATGGCACTGCAGGAGCAGGCTGCTATAAAGAGACGTTCAGTCGGACCTTCCCTCAAAGCTGCTCCATGTGCTTGATGTCAATCTGGAGACTGTTCCTCCCCAAGCTCATCTGCATTCCCAATTCTGGCTCACCGCCTGTTTACTGGAGATGTCTCTCACCTGCTTCCTGGCTTTCTCCTCCCTGGCCTGTGCTTTCATCTGCTGCACCTCCAATGAATCGGCCTTTCTCCTCCTCATGAAAAGATCATGGTTTCCAATACACAGCTGAAGAATCTATTCCAGTCAAAGGTGAAGAGAGGAGAGAAAAGGCTGTATGTGTGATGACAACAACATGGTTTTTACTCCTGACACACAGAACTAGGTTTGGTGCTTGTAAGCACTTTCCTCCACCAAACCCAAGCTCTATGAGCTCTCGTACCCCAACGTGAAGGGCAGGGAGCCATCAGCTCTTTGCAGAAACCAATTTTCTGTGCAGCCAACATAGCACAGATCTGGCAAGTATTATACCAACCCTGAGGAGGCATTAGGCCAAATAGTAAAACAGCCTTCTACAGCTTCAGCCAGCTCCCCTGCTCTCACTACCCCCCTTTCTTTAGGTTCAAGATTAACTTCCACTTTCTCCCAACATGAAGCTTAAAAGCACTGAGATGGAAAAAAAAGAAGGAATAACATTTTCCACCTTGGGCAAGGCTACACACAGAGGGCTTATCAAAAATGACCTTATACACCTTCAGATAGCTTTGAGCATCTATGTTATTTCTGCTGATACTTAAGGAGAAGGACAAGGGAAGTGGTCATACTAGGGAGAGACAGCAAAGTAAAGGGGGTGGTACACAGTGGACAGAAAGCCCAGTTATTTTTCAGCAATGAAAGAGTTTCTAAGCTCTGATTCTTTTAGAAAAGAATGGATTCGCATGCCTGTATTTCATTTCACAGATTATGAGCGAATCTTCTGCAATCAGCACTATGAACCTGATGAGAAAAGTGAATGAGGCCTTTGTGAGAAAGCCCCACTTCCCTATGTACACAAGTACAGCAGGCATGCAGGACAGCCTACAGCCAGGATAACGAAGTCCCCCTCCCTTTCTGCCTTCTGAACATCCATTGTGCAACTTAACAACAGTGCACAGGTACTTCAGCACTTGGATCAAAGCCCCAAAGCCAACTGGACACCTAATCCAGAATACTAGCTAAAGCTGATCTCCAACACAGACAGCTAAACACAGTTCTTGCTGTTTCTGTGCAAGCAGAGCATCCTGAGCAGGGTTCAGCCTTGAAAAAGCCAGGGCTGCAACACTGACAATGGTGCTTCTCAAAAGTGGGAGGCCTAAAGCCATGGGGTGGAACAGAGAAGAGCAAGAGAAGAAAAGGAATCTGGAACAAAAAAAAGGGTTAGGAGAAAGTTTTACTTACAACGTACTTCTGCCATGCAGGTCAGATGCAACCTGAGAGCTCAGAAAGGGAGCACAAAAACAGAGGAGAGGGGGAGAGGTTCTGTGAACGAGCATGGCTTCATCTTCCCTTTTCTCTTCTAGAGGCTATGACAGAATAACAACTGTGGTACCAAGTCACGTCTACAGTCCATCCAGTCCAAGCCTATGACTGCTTGAAGGAAAAGCCCCAAAAGAGCACTGTCTTGTACTGCCTGCAGAAACTACTGCTAGAGTAATTTTCACTGCCTGTGCCTGTAGACTTACCAGCTTATTCACACGCAGCTTTGATGAATTGAATTTGAACACATCGATCTTTTTGTCCAATGGCTTAATTGTAAACTGAAAAGGAAAAAATAGAGAAGGACAAAATTATCAGCGAGCTCTGCACTTAATAATAACACAGCTATAAAAGTCTTACCAAAAGCTTTAGCTCAGAGGAGGTCAGCAGTGTCAGACAAACAAGGCTGAGAGCTGTCCCCATGGCTCTTAGCCAAGAAGGGAACTAGAGTCAAAAGCAACCAAGGAGACAACTGCTCCTGGCCAGAAAAAGAAGAGTGCCACATAGAACCTACAAGCATAATGCCCATCTCCTGGCTGCAATGCCCAGCAGTGGGCAGCCTCTGCAGAGCACCTTGCATAGGGCAGAGACAGATCCACAGCCTCCCAAACAGACAGGAAACTTCTCCCCTGAATGCTGTAGAGAACTGAAGAGGGCCAGCAGAAAATCTTGACACCTCTGAATAGAGGAAGAACCAGCTCAGCCACGTGAAGGAGAGCTGAAATAGAAATATGGAAACACAAGCAGCTATTCCTCTTATTAACATCTCCCCTTGCAAGGGCTCCTCATAAGAATTTTTCAGTGCATTTTGTTCTCCAAAACTCAGTGATGTCACGAGACTGCTCAGCAACCCAAAAGATTATTCCCTTGCACCAACATGCTTTGATACTTCGTGCCAGCTGATCAGCTCTAAGCTCATCCTAAGTTTACCCTCCTCGAAGCACCTTCCCACAAGGATTCTCTCAAGGGATACATGTGGCATCACCAGAGTTGAAAGTTTCAGTAATGCAGCCCTTGGACAGAGAGATTCTGAACCAACAAAAGGATGCTTGAAGAGACAGAGTGCTCTGCTATACTGCATTTTTTAGAAGGTATGTATGTATTCCATCACTCCTCCATATATTACAAAAATAACTGGCTGAAGAGATAGTGCTGTAGCAGGCAGCCTGTGTCCATTAAACCAGCTCTATTTATCAACACATTGTACTGCTTGAAAGGGGCTCAGCAGAACTCACCCTGGCAGTGTTTTGTTTTGTCAGTTTAAGAGCCCATCTTTTAAGACTTTCACACAGGCAGACGTGCGTGAATGTCCCTGGGCTTCAGCTCCACCAGAATCCACGTCAGTCATTGAAGGCAACAGCAGAAATATGCCAGAGGAGGAATTTCAGTTCCACATAAACAGTCAATCTTTGTTACAATAGATTAAATACCTCTGCTGTGTCAGTGTAGCTGTCATACCCAGCTATTAAGCCTGTTTACTATCACGTCAGTTCTACTTGTGGTCATCTTATTACCCAGATTATTGCCCTGATAGAAAGTGACAGGGTTTTTCACCCCAAGAGAAAGATCTGTTACAGACTTGTGTCGAGGCCTAGTAACAGGGCCTTCAATCCCCATATCTCTGAGGCAGTGCATGATCTGACAGCTTCCACTGATCTGTCACGGGTAGAAAAGTCTTTGAAAGTCATTAAGTGCTGAGCTGCTTCGCAGAGTTATGGAGCTCTCTATTTTTGAGCAGAAAAAACAAGTGACCAGAATTCCAACATGGCCTTTTCCTACAAAACTTCATAAGACATGCAATAAATGCAGCTGATGAGAAGCCTTTAACTTTTACCCTGATCAATATCACGTTTAAATTGGAAAACACTTTAATTAACAAGTTAATTTTCTTCCTTACCACGAAGGCAGTTGCTTTTCTTTGAGCAGTTCTCACAGACTAAAAGAACTGAGCAGATCGGTTTCTCCTCTACAGACAATTTTATTGCTGTTCTCAAATGGGTTTGGCAGCCAACAATTCTAAAGATTTGTATTTACGCTCTGGATTTAATAAATATTTCTCTTACGGTGAGTTTAAATTTTTCAGCCTCCTAAAAAGATTCCAGCTGTTATGCCAAGCCCAGCAGCCTGAGAATTCAAGATGATGTAATAGCATGTCAAGATGCAAGAGTTTTTCTCACCAGGAACACCTCTCATCACATCTCATAATTCAAGAGCACGTATACAGCAAAAAACTCCCATCTTCAATGTTAGGGCTAAGCACATCAGTAGTGATTTTGTTTGTGAAAAAAATATCTAGTGGGTTTGAAGGTACTCTAAAATCAAACCAGTTGACTTTCTGTTTGTCCACTCCTGGAAAGTCTCAGCTGCCTTCAACTATGCTGGTCATAGCAAGCACAGCAGACAGAAGAGCAAAGACAAGCCATATTAAATTGTAATTGTGCTCTTACTGGCACTGCTCTCAGAAGAGAGGGGAGATGGATCCATACCTCTTTATCACTGTAGGAGATATTCCGGATCTCATTCCACGGAAAGGAGATTTTAGGGGTCAACCTGTTGTCTGGGTCATAAATGTGAAGACCCAAAGCATCGACTCCAAGGAGCAGTTCAGTACCCTTTTTATTCTAAGGGAGGAAAGAAAAGAGCAGAAAATCCTTTTATTCAACTCAAGGACAATCTAACACAAACCAAGTCTTTGTCAGCTTTGATGAACCAGCCCTGAGCAGTGACCCACCAGCACTATATATTAAAAGGGCTCCCACCTCCTGGGTAGCAAAGCACACCACAACAGTGACTCCCATTAACACGGCACAGCCATGTCCCAAGTCCACTGCCTCTTGCAGTCCCCACTCATACAATCTCACAGCAACACAGACCAACATGAGAGCCACCCCAGCAAGGAACTCTGCACACCTTGAAAGCACAACCTACACTCACCCTAATTGCAAAATAGTTCACTCCATACATCTCCAAGTCCTGAGCTATCTTCAAATACTCCATTTCTGCTTCATCTCTGTCAGACAAAAAAGAGAAAAAAAGGCCAGAGTTACAGACATCTGGTAGGATCAGAGAGAATGAGATGGCTGCACTTTCTGATCCTAAGCACACTCGATGCTTTAAAACCTTGACTGTCTCTATCACATGGGTCAGGTTTGTCTTTGCTAGCAGGATCAATACAGTCCTACAGCAAATCCCAGTCTGCAGCTTGCCAGCATCTTAATGGCTGTTGACGCCTGCCCAGAGAGACACAGCATTTCAAGTGATGCTTTGTTCCTCTCCCAGTCCCTTAAGCATAAAGGGAAAGTCTTCAGCTGGGAGTCCTATGCTCCAGCTCTATCTTACTTCAGGAATATCTCCCACAAAGAGTGTTTTACCACATGAGCAGTGATACACTTCACCAATCTGACTTTCTGCCTTGGAATCTCTATTTCCTTCCTTGCCCAGTGAGTCCCCAGAGCCCCTGGGCAGTAGGGCTGCCTCTGTGCCTCTTTGCAGATGCTACCCTCCTGAGCATGAGTCGCAAGTTCACCCCATCAGGAACCAGTGGGCAGCGGGGCAGAGCCACAGGAATAAAGAAAGCTCTTTGCCCTCCGTGAGTCTGTGAGCCAAGCTTGCTGGGATTAACCCTGCTACGAGCAGAGCTCACCTCACCTGCCTAAGGTCCCCAAAACCCTTGCAGCTCTTCAAGTGAGGGGGCTGACCCTGAGCCACAGGCCACTGCAGCACACACTCACCTTGCTCTGCCTCGATGCTCTGCATACCAGGCTGTAATCCTTTCCTCCCACATCTCTGGAGTCATCTGGTACAAGTTTATTACCTGAGACACAAAAGGAGACAGAGATCCAGGTCACACTGCTACTTGCCATATTTTCCCAAGCCAGCAAACAGGCCAGAAATGCCCAAGCTTCCAGCATAATCCCCAGGCATTACAGCTCATCTCAGACAGGCTCCTGCCTCCTCTCCCAGCAGTGCATGTTCAGCCCCACGCTCTGCAATATCACAGTGCTGATTTAGCCCTCAAGCATGCACAGTCTCCAGGCCACCAAGAAGAAACACAGATAGAATGAAAATGTGAAAACCATCGGAAAGAAAATAATTGCTTCTGCCTTTATTAAAATGTCAGAAAAATACTGAATCCTCCTCCCTCAGTACAACTCCTTGGGTTGTTTACCTTGATAAGGAAATCCACCCCAGCCCAATGTGCTGCAAGCAGCCCCACAGAGACTTTCTCTGCAAAGGGCTTTGTAGCACAAATGTTACCAAGTGTGGAAATTCATTCTTCTGGTGGGTTGAGCTCCTTACCCGCTTTGGAAGCAACTCCTCCTGTGCCAGAAAGCCTCGCTTGTGGACGTTGGGATCATAATCACCATACTGGAAAGAAGTAGAGACATTGTGCCCACACTGTGTTAACAACACAGGCAAACAGAACTCTTCACCCTTATACATCCACTCCTTGTGGACACAGCAAATACAGATCACCTACACCCTTCAGCATCAGCACGTTAGAGGCGAGAACACGTGCTCCTCGGTTAACATAATAAACAGAGTTCCTTTGCAATATGATTGCTAATAGAAACTAAGATCCTTGTTTTATTGGTGCAGCAAACAGAACAGGATGCAGGACAAAACTTCCCACTGCCAGCTGGTGCCCACCATGCCCAGGAAACACTTTTTCCAGCATCAGAAAAGACCTCATCTGCATGAGTCCATGCCTTTCCACCAGCAGTGGGATGGGGATCCAACATGTGGACAAAGACCTGTCCCCTAATAATGACTGATCCCAGTAAGTCAGCTGAGGCAGACAGCCTTTTCTCTGCTGCTGTTGACTATTAACAAATATTTAAATAACAATAATAATGATACCAGGAATTTGGATGACAATTGCAGGCTTCCCTCAGGCAGGCATTGACTGTTCTGCCAGAGGGGCTGTTGCTCAATTGGGTCATGGAATCCAAATCAGATTTGTTAAGTGCACCCAGTAATTACTAGTATTTGTTTAGATGTACATCCTTCTGAGCAGCATATAAAATGGCTGAGAAATAAAACTGCTTATTAACAGACTCAAAAGCTGAGTGTCCCTGCAGTGCATGTGAAAATGAATTTATCTCCCATACAGCATAAGAGGGGAGGAAACAGCCAGAAAGCAGCACCTCAAATAACCTCGCAGGTTGAAGCGGATGGGATGAAGGATGTGAGGCACGTACAGGAAATGCTGCGATTCTCATTCACCTGGCAAGCAGGACTTCTGCAGTGACATTAGGTGATTACACAAGGCACAGCAACGTTCCCTTCAGTCATGCATTCTGCAAGGGAAGCAGCCCTTCCCTCCCAGCTTTTCTGTAGCTCTTCAGCTCAGAAAGCACAAAATGGTGACAATTTTTAAAGCAAAACCAAGGCATGTGGTGCTCATATGGGCAGGAAGCTTTCCATGGCAGCCTACTTTCAATGCCAGGACCATCATGTCGTGCACCAAAACCAGAGCTCAAGATCACAAGTCTACACAGACACCCCCTCAGCAGCCCAGCAAGCAACGTTTCATCCACAAGAAGCAGGGATTAAAGACACAGATATTGATTTAGAGCCAATGCAGATGTGAAGGAAGCATGCAACAGCCAACACTGACTCAGACTTCAATTAATACAACGCAAACACTGGGGGTTCCATTCAGCAGGGTGCTGAGCAGTGGCAACTCTTTGTCTCCCAAGGTCTACAGGGCTTGGAGCTTCTCAATGACAGCACATTGCAGGTATACATCTCTTGTACCCACGTCAGAAGGGAACAGCAATAAAAACACGGAAGTAGCAAGGGAAACAACTCCAATAACCTTGGAGAGGCAGAAAATAAATCATTTCTAGGTGATGAAAATAACAGCAAACAGGATTAACACGAGTATTTCTTTTGCTGTGGTCTGCCATAGAGATCCAAGACTAAGTATGGATTATGTGATTTTCACGTGGTGAAAAATACTGCCATGTCCCAAAGGAATATCTGTTCTGTGAGGGAGTCTGGATGAGGACATTAATTATTCACAACTGAAAAATCAACAAATGGCTTAAATATTGCAGTGTATGTTGGCTCAAATGATTCGGCAAACACGCTTTTAAAGACCTTTCCAATTAAATAATTGCTTCAAAACTGTCACAGAATTTTAACTCCTGTTAATTGTATGACACAATTAATATTCACGGTCACACACAGAAGTTGCCTTCACATCATCCATACGCCTGGCTTGTATTGTCCTGTACAAACACGGGCATACTCAGCTGTGACCCATTAGTGCTGATTATTGTTTGTTTGGGGAAAAAACAAAAACAGAGGACCCTGTTGCTAATGCTGAAGTGCTTTAAGACCTGAAGTGCTGAGAGCAGCAGGGCAGCGATTTGCGTTCGAGGGGCGAGGAATGGAAAAACCTCTTGGATGTTACCATTGCTGCAGGGACACGTTTTATTTGATAGTTTCCAAGTCTTTCACTGCTATTTAAAACCTGAACCATCTCCAATATTTGAAAGCGGTGTGGGTGGTTTGAATGCAGAGCTAGAGGGGAAAACACAGAGTAATTCCCCAAACGAATGCAACGATATAGAAATAAACAAGCTTTTAATTTTATGACCCGTGTGCTTACTTTGTTATTTCAGGTGGGTGGTTCAACAGCAGCACAAACAAGCCTAGCTGTCAATCAAATGGCTTCATCAGCTGCAACCACACTGACACCGTGTCAGACTGCTATGCCCCTCACCATGCAAATCAGCACGTTATTAGAGAAATTACTGTGCTCAGTGGCTGCTTTCTTGTCCAGAAAGGATATCATTATCCTATTTAACTGGAAGGAGGTGACCTGCAATATCTTTCTTCCCAGCTCCATACTGAGGGTTTGCTTTCCACTTCTACCTTTCCTGAAAAAGAGCAGGAGGGGAAGCTCTGCCTGGACCTGGTTACAAAAAGGACAGCAAGGAAAAATCATGTCTGAAGCAGACAAAAAGTGCATTAGCTAAGATAAGAAAAGGGACTCCTCTTCCATCTTCTCACAGCCTCTGCAGAACCAAGATCTGCAAGATTAGGAGAACTGCTCTGATTCCAGTCGATCTCCAGACACACAGAGCACATCAGGTGTGCTGCTGAGGACAAGGTCAGGAGCCAAGTTGGGAGAGCAGACACAGGGCAGTATAACAGCTCTGCACCAAAGTCAACGCTGCTCCTGAGCATGTGAGCAGCCATGGCCAAGAGTTAACAGCACTCAGTATTTTACCCAAGGGTTTATTCATTTTGGCAGTGGAAGTGGCATTCCCTCTGTACCCTCAGCTTAGCAGGTCACATGAGAAAAAGCTGAGTGTTTATACATGTATGTAATAAGAGTGATGGCTGTTTCACACAAACATTGTTAAAAGCAACTCTCTACCCCAGCTGATGAGTCCCTCTAACAAAATAGATTTGCATCAATATTCTGCCTATGAGAAGAACACACGTTTTTCTAGCAAATCCAAATATCTGTCATCAAACAACACTGCAGCACGTCACCCACTGCTGGATTCAGACAAATTGGGCACGAACTAAAGGGTTATGAAGAATGTTATCATGCAACCTGGAAAAAGCCATTGTTGAGGATGAGACTCCTTGAAACGACTGCTTCCACCCTGCCTGGACCAAGCCCTGCTCAGGCAACAGAAAAAAATCCCACTCCTGCACTGCGACACAGATCTCACAGAGCACAGTTACCCTGCCTGTCCCCTGGCCCCCCTAAGGGACACAGCGGGGCACAGATACTTGGCCTATGGTTCTGCAAGCCAAAACCCCTTCCTGAAGAGCATCCAGAAAGTGACTGAGTACAACCACGAAGATGTGGCAGTTGAGCTGTGATAGGACTCCAGCATGGCATTATCTTTACACAGGAGCTGGAGATTAGCTAGAAAACTCAATTCAGCAGTGGTACATGTTGTGTTGCAGAGATAAATGACCCATCTCTAGCAAGATGTCCCCACCTCTGAACCTGCGGCTGCTCCCTGTATCACAAGAGTCCCTCTGCTGCTGGCTGCTTCCTCTGCTATCCAAGGCTGTTCCCAGCTGGAAAACAGCGCTCTTTAGAATCAGCCCTTGGCAAAAACCACTGACCTGGGGTCTAGAGCAGAATTCAGCTGAGGATTGAGGGGAACTTGATGACAATTGAGTTCCTCCTTCTGTGTAGTGAGGCCAAAGAGGCATGATCAAAGCTTTGACAAAGGAACAAGTCAGAAAGATCTCTGACTGCAACACATCAATGAGGCAAGCTGTAGCACTCAAAACAAAGCAGTTATGAGGACAAGTATTCCAGGGAAGCAGTGGAGCTGCCAGTCTCACAGCTGGTTTGCTACTGGCTACAATAGCAAGAGCAGGAAGGAGATCCAAAAAAGCACAGGCTCTAGGAATTCAAGTGCTCCAGTAGTAACCCATACTCAAGTAGGCATTGCTACTCATAGGCTGAGAGCTTGCTAAAGACTTCTGGAAAGAGAAAATAAAAATGCATCCAATGTCCAAAGGCAGCCAGAAATTGGCAGCATGGAAAAGACAATGTTGCTAGTGTAGTCCCATCACTTTTGAATTTTTAACAACTTTCCTTGCCTCAGAAAGTGGGTATGTAACAAAGCACCCAGCTTCCCAGGAGGAACACGAAGCCAACAGCACCTTGCCCTCAGAAAGTCCCTCTGTGCCTACCTTGGCTTGGACTGCATAAGAGGCCAGGAGGACAGAAGCTTCAGGAGGACAGTAGATCTTCTCATCCAAAATCTGCTTCTTCACCTGCGCACAGCAATAAAGGACACATAACACATGTTCAGTGAAGCAGTGCAAAGCATGACTGTCACAGCAGATGGCTGCAGTTTGTTTTAACTAGGGCTGTCAACCACACAGTTAACAACATTCCTAACACTAGCTCCTGTTCAGGCCCAGGAAATCTCTGCTTCTGTAAAGGGAAGGGCTCAGTCTTTCACAAGCCACCTTTTGCAGACAGGTTTGCAGGAACTAAATTTATACTGGGAAAGTGACAGAACCTATATCTCACTGTGAAGGGCAGGGGGGAGGAAAAAGCCTTGCATGTAAACGTGGAGATAAAACCTCCTAAGGCATAAGCTATAGATTGATGTGACTATATACAACGCTAAATTAAAAAAAAGGAGTTGTAGCTGAGGCTCTGAGCACACAAAGGGCTTTGCTCTGGGGCATTCGGACCTCGCTATGGGTAGGTGCTCACCTATGCTTGGGGCTAATTCCCTCCAATCCCCACCAACAGCAAGCAGAGCTGCAGGTCACCTCTGTGGCAGTGCTTTTAAGAGCAGGCAGCTCCTGCGCACGCTCCCAGGAGAGCCAGCGTACAGTTCCCAAAAGCTACTGCTTTATGTTTCCTGGCTTCTGTGCATTAAAAAATTAAACCTGTCATGTTTGATATTTTATGTTCTTGGCCACTTAATTTTTCTGAAAAAAAAAAAAAAAAGTACTATTTTCCTAAAATGGATTGTTACAGAAATACAGTAACATGTATTTGAATTTATAGCACGTTTTGCACCCTCAAAGTCAGTTACAGCATAATCACAGAAGAGATTCTCCTGCATTAAGGTGAACGGGGGAGCTTGCAAGCTTATGTGTGTTCCTGTTTCTTATACACATTACTGGAGCATAGGCTCTTCTCATATCATTAAAATCCTAGCAGAAAAGTCACAGTCTGCATTTATAAAATGCAGCTTGAACTGCTTTTCCTCTGTGATTCTATTTTTCAAAGCTGCCAAAAAGCATTTCTCCTTATCAGGCCTAAAACCCATGACAAATTGGACATACAGAAACTGCCCTAAGGAGACACGAGAGCACAAGACAGACTTTGGAAATGAACAGCAATACTTTGCATTTCTACTCCTTTAGCTCTGAAGAACAAAGACGAACTTTAGAACTGGGAGGAGTATCAATGAGCTAGTGAGCTCACTCTTATATGTGTTGTAAAGGGCAGAGTACACTGAAATCTAAAGCAATGCAGCTGAATCCAGATTGCCCTCACTTTGGTGCAAAGCAACTTCAACAGCCAAGGAGCAGCTACAACATCCTAATGAATGCCCAGAGAGATCTGCCCAGGATTATTCTACAGCCTGTAACACTCCTGCCTCCTGTTTCTTTTTATAGTAAATAGTTTCAGAAAATTGATCTTGTCTGAAAGAGAAAGCTGCTGTGATAGAAACGCTTCATTACCAGTCACACAGCACAGCTACAACATCAGCTGAACTGATTTCTCAAGACATGATGTTTGGCAGAGTACTTTAAATAAGAAGTTACTGGTGCAGGCAGGACAGCTAGGTTTCCCCTTCTCCTCTGCTTTTGCCATCAGTTTATGACAGAGTTGTGCTTCTGGGATTTTCTTCTGCTCCAGTTATCTGAAGGCTGATTTGTGAAGAGGTGAACCTTGCTGTACAGCCTGTACATGAAACAGGTTGGCTGCATTCTGTGCTCCAGGATGAAACTCCCTTGCTTCCCACAAGAACGCTATCACTTATAAAGGCAATTGTCATCTCTCAGCACAATTGATATCTACACCCTGCAGAGAGGCAGACTCCAAGGCTACGAGTGTCATTCATGCCCACATCTGACAGATTCATTTTCCTTAACTACCACACACTAATATTACAAATCACCTAATCATTTCTGATGGCCAGTTTGAAAGTCTGGGCACCTGGGACTGCTTCATCCATCTCTGACCTATTTTAGGACACTTCTGTACTTCAAGACAACTGCATTCAGAGGGGTGTGAACATAATGACAAAGAGCCATGCTTTGCTGACCAAATTCCTCAATCCCCAAAACCTTCTTGCACTTCTGCTCATCCATGCTCCATCCTCCTTCATGCTGGAAAACAATGTACTTACTTATGAGGCTCCTACCTGCAAGAAGAACAAGTGCTGTGTGATCTCCTGGACCAGCTCCTCCTCTGCATTCTCAGGATAAAATTTGGCTAGGAAGTGAAAGGTGACAGGTTCCTCTGTTGGCACATCATGATCCAGAACCTGGGGAATAGAAAAGCCATTCAACTACACCCCCTAGCTTTGTCAGTGTCCTGTTTCTAGGAGCCACACTGTTCCCTTCTGTTAATATCAGCACAGCTTTTGTCAAGCATCTTAGGCATGCAGAAGGGATGAAACAACCTAAGTAGTTCAGAAGAGTTTAGAAAACAAACATTTCTGACAATCAGAACTGTGCAAGAAAACAAACAGCACGCAAAACGAGACAGCAAAGGTTGGTCTTGATCTGCTATGTACATAATGCTGCTTCCCAACCTCTCGCAATGATGTTAGATGCTGCTATGCCACCACCAACCTTTATGGCTGTTTCTCTGCAGTGCCTCTCCCTCTATTTCAGACTTGCTCTCTGACACCTTGCTATTATGCTGGCACTGTCTGGTTCAGATTCATGTTAGCTTAAAACTTTGGCATGACACTGAGACCTCCTTTAGTCACAATTACTGTCTGGTTTTAGTGCAGCATCGTTTGGGTGCAAACAGAGCCACATCCATCACTTCCCTAACCAACTGCTCAGCAACCCAGAAGCTCACATATCTGGAAAGCATCCCCACCTCCTTTTCACTCCTCAGCTTTGCCTCCTCCTTTGCTTTTGCACACTTCAACAACAAAAGAAGCCAAGGTGCAACCTTTCACTGTCCTGCTAAAGGATTTGTTATTCAGGGGTGTAGAAGAGAGACTAAAAGCAGCCATCACTAGACTTTGTTTACATTAGAGACCTCCTGCAGCCCAGAACCTCAGGGGTTGGAAGATGATCTTTAAGGTCCCTTCCAACCTAAGCTACTCTTCAATTCTGTACATCCTCCTCTGTCACCCTTTATGAACTCTCAAGAGAGATTTGCTTCTAACCTTCTTGTCCATTTTAAGCCAAGCCACCGTGTCCTTGATAGTATACTGCAGGCCAAAGAACCATGTTTCTCGGAGTCCCAGCGTTCTGCATACCAGGTCAAACAAGTCTTTGCCTTTCCACTTCACCTGTAGGAAAAGGAAGCCAAGTTATAAAGATGGACTTGAGGATTTTGTTTCCATTCAACCAAACCCATTCTTTTTTCCACCTCACAATGTGTTCCTCACAGAGGAATTGAAACGCCAGGCCCACCCAAATGACACCGTCAAGTCCCACCATTTCTTCCTTTAGCAATTCACCAGAAGTCAGAGGATCTAAAGGGTCCTTTTGAATCAAGCACCACTATGAGTAGCCCATTTTCAGCGTGAAAAAAGAGAAAAAAAAAAAATGTCATGTATCACTCTTAATTGCCCTTTGGTAGCTTTAATGTAGCTATGGCCCCAGGTATCCCTGCTCAAGTATCAGCAGCTCTGGAAGACTAGACACAACTGAAAATCAGAAGTGAAACAACTGATGCATCCACTGCATGCATCCACAGCAACAGGCTCTGCACAGGCTAACGGGTGGAGGGCTCAGAACTGTAATTGAAGTCAGCAGCTCTGAGCATGTTTTGATCGAGTCAGGCTGTGCCTCACACTGAAAATGTGACAAAAGCAGCCAGGGAGCAGAGAAAATGGTCGTGCTCAAAGAGCGTGTCCTTCCAACAATCTTGTCGTCGCAACCGCGCTATTGCTGAAGTTTGTTCATAAAACCAGAAGGCGTTGGGAGGCAGAAAGGTGAAGAAAGACATAAAACAGATGAATCTAATGTGCCAGAGCCACTTTGGTCTTCCATCTGCGCGGCGGAAACAATCGCTGGACTGAGACATATGGCCATTACTCCAAAGCCCCAGGGCAAAAGGATCTCGGCACATTCTCTTGTCGCTACAACTCAATCTTGGTGCCACCTGGACAGCATCAATATTAATGCAGGGGCACAGCACATGCTGCTGACATGGGGACGATCCCCGCTCCCGCTGTCACCCACTGCCGCCTTGTGGGCAAAGCAGTTGAGGACAGGCTGATTCCTGCTTTGATTACATGAGCACGTGGCTATTTTTGCCCCTTGCAGGGTACATACGTGCACACCGACGTCCCAGAATAGAAGAAAGCCATTGCTAGCCTCCAAAAAGCAGCACCCCAGGGCGGCTCACCACAGCCTCTCTGCCATTCCTATCAGGCGCAGTCAACACCTCGAGGTCAAAAGCACCAGGAGAAGCAAATTCTGCAGTGCTGTAATTATAAAACCCTAATTTCACACATCAAACTAGCCTCCGGTCCCCACAACGAGCTCCAGCTTGGCACAGGATGCTTCAGATTGCACGTCTCCTCCTGACTATTATTTTAAGGAGGAAGTTAATTTGAGGTTTCAGACAAAACAGAGCGAGATGCATTTAAACAGCCATTCCATAGCATTTCTGTAGGCACGTGGAAGCACGCCGCCACCAAAGGGCTATTTCCTAACTGGAATTAAACTGCTTTGCATAATGCATTGTCATTTGGGCTTTTTTATCATTTCCACCCCCGCCTCCCTCCCCTGTCTGCAAAGGCCATCTTCCAACCTATTGCTTCCCAGCACCTGCACCCCTTTGCGCCCCCCCCAGGATCTCAATGGGCTGCTGCTGCTCACCCCAGCTATCCACGTTACAGCTGGCACTTTGCACATCCCTCCTGCAATTCCCATTTTGCTAAGCAATTGTTTCTGCCATCACATTTCACACTGCTGCTGTCACTGCATGTGCACGGTAAGGCAGAGACACGTATTTAACACTGCTGCCCGCTGAATTACCTTCATTAAATATAGAAATGGAACAGCGTTTATTTCAACGTACATGATTTCCTTCCACACCTCGGTACTTAAAATAATGATCTGCATTCAAGTGGCATCTTTGGACAGCTGAACTCCAACTGTTTTACAGACATGGAAGACCTTAGCTCTGTACCCATATTTGATAGGCCTCGTATCATTAACTGCCACATTTCCTGGCCATAAAACACAATAAAGTCCCCCAGGGACACCGGGGGATAAAGAGAGCTGATGCCAGGGGCTGAGCAGATGAGCCAGCAGATGAGCCAGCAATGAGCCCTGCAGCCTGGCAGTTCCACATCGTGCCCTCTGCTCATCACACCGCTCCCCTGCTCCGTACACCTGAAGTACAAGGACAATTTTGCAAGTCGTCAGAAGGTCCTGAAAACAAAAACAAAAAGGCTTAGAGCAGAGCAGTCCCCTCAGCCATATGCTCGAGCAGTTGGCACGATGCTATAACAAAGCTCAGCCTCCAACCAAAAGCTCCATCACAACAACCCTAATCCTGCACAGCCAGGCAGCCCTGCACGACCCGCAGAGGGGAGCAGGATGTGGCTGCAGATGTCACTTCTCACACTTGTGGCTTTGCATCCTCCCACCAGCTTGACTTCAGCACAACCTGCTAAAGACATTCCACAAGTCTTGGAGGAATACATGGACAAACTGCTTTATGAACGCGGCGAGTGCTGCGAGGCTGTGATTTTGCAGAGCTGGAATTTATGCTCTTTACTAAGCACAGAGTGCTCACAATTTATCAGCAGAGCGTTTTAAGTAAACAGCACTAAGCACTTACAACCCAGCAGCTAGAAAGGAGCACTTCCACTATGCCTTATTGGCATCATCTTTTTCTCCAGCAGAGACGTCGCATTTGGCATCTATTAACAGGGTTTGCATTATTTATTAAACTGCACCAAGAGTAATTTCCAACAGACAGGCAACTGGGCGATTTATTTCAATGCAGACCCTTGCCAGCAATTCTCAGCACTGCTCCTTAGCTCCTGAGCCTGTCCCCCAGTGGCACAAACACGAGGCAGGGTTACCTGATCCCCCTGGCAAGGGCTGACAATGAGGAGGCCAAGAGCTAGAAAAAAAACACACACCAAAGCACAGGAGGTGCAGCCGTCCTGCACAAAGAGTGCTGAGGGTGCTAAGGAGAAAAGTGATTCCCAAACTCTGCTGATGCTTCACTTCCAGTGATGCCCTGCTGAATTTACTCCAGCCGCATGGGAAAGGGAAAAAAGGATGGTTTTAAACCCCTTAGGATTTCACGAGAGGAAGGAGAGGAACAAATACATGCCCAATCTTCTTGGGGCAGAACCCAGTTCAAGGCAGCCTCTCCTCCCTTCCATCACAAAAACAGACCAGGACTTCATACGAGAAACACAGAACAGTGGCTTTTCAGCTCAGCAGGTCAATTTTATTCAATGTCAGTATTCGTTCTGTGCTGGACATGAGACAGGAACCCAGGGTCCCTGCTCTGATGACCTGATGGCAGGCAGGGCAAGCAGAGGAGGGGGCCAAACCCTGGGAAGCAGCACTTAGGTTTCACAGCAAGATATTTCCACTCAGGAGACACTGTGGGAGAAGCAAGCTTTTAGCAGAGCCAACACCTCTGCCTGAAACACAGGGGGAGATCACAGAAGGGAGCCCCTTTGGGCACCTGAGCACACAGGACTGCCCCTCATCCACCAGATGCCCAAACAGAACCCCACAACAGCACACAACCCAAAGCAGGGTAACTTTGAGGCTGTATGCTTTCCCTTCTGGACCCTACATGGAAACAGGAGTGCCCCAGACAACCATTTGTTTGGATTTAATGACCATTTGGAGCGAGCAGGGAATCAAATATTCAATATTCCTCCATTTCTTTAAATAAACAGATGTCAAATACTTTCAATTGCCACTTACTGAGCCACGAGACAGGGCCGTAAAAGTTATTTTTATTTACTAATGCTACACGACAACTCGATAATGAGCTTTTAATTAAAATCTATTCCTGTTAACCACCGAGGAGGCCAAAAACCCACCCAGGCATAACAAGGCAGATGGTGCAGCCAAGCACAGTGCTTGCTGTCTGCCCAAGACAGAGACAGGGCTGGGTGCAGGGGAAAAAAGGGCTGCTGCAGCTCTTCCAGCTGGCAAGGGAGGGGAAGGGGAAAACAAGCAACAGGACCCAGAGCATCAGCTCAGCCAAAGGCTGGATGAGTGAGGACTGATGGAGCTCTTGAACCAACGGCAGAAGGAACTGGATAACACCGAGCTCAAGAAGAGGCTGAGAAGAGGTTGTAGCAGGACACGGGACCAGAGAGCGTTTCAGATTCAGGGTGCAATCAGGACGAAGTCAAGGAGGATCTGTGCTCATAATGTGTCTCGTGTGACTTGCACACAGATTAAGAAAGAGAATGCAGAAATGAACAGAACCGAGCAAGACAGCTCTGAGAAATTCCCAATTGACATGGCTGTAAATTAGCAGTATTGCTGCTTCTGCCATAAAGCCCTCCAAGATTCAAATCAAATGAGAAAGCAGCTTCTACCTGCCACTTCTCATATTAAAGAAGGGATTGGGAGCCACCGAGCAGCAAAAACATGTGAGCATTCAGAGAACTGACACAGGACGAGGGCAGATGGGTGCACAAAGGAACCAGAAAGAACATTGACTTGACAGCTGGCATCCCAGTAATTTACTGAAGATCATTTTGCAGCTGAAAGGGATTATTTCTCTCAGCTTTTTAAAATAGCTGTTACTGTCCACAGATTCATCTTTGCCAGCCAGCTTTCTGCCTGCTAGCAGAAGCTTAGCAGCATCAAGAGGTCAGTGTCACTACTGGCATCACCAAGAAGCTGGTGAACATTTACCAAAGGATGAAGAAACCCATGTAAAACCTCTCCCAAGCATTTTGCAAAGCAAACAGAAACTTCATCCCCTGCTTCTTCCTCTTGCCCTTTTTATTTGGGTGCAGTGAGCTTAACTCCCTACTCTGACGCACAAACTCTTTCTCAAGAACTTATTTGGTCACAGATTTTCAACACCAGACCTTAGCTTGCCCCTGCTCCTAGGGATAAGCTTTTGCAGCACAGCTATGTAACCCCCTACAAACGCTAATAGAGAGACTAACACTTGGCTGCACGCTGCTAAAATAGAGTTTTTCTACTTACAAGCAAATAGAAAAGTTTTACAACCAACCACAGCCAGCTGAGCTGGCCTTGCAGCAAGTTGGGTACCAAGGACTGAACGCTCTGCAGAGACACCTTCCAGCTGAGGTTGTTTTCTGAGCAGAGAGGAACAGCTGAAGCATTCAGGCATAACACAGTGCAAGTTTAGACCAAACGTACAAGTGTCTCTTCTTACTGCTTCAATGCTCATGCTTTCCCCAGGTTGGCTGTTAAGCTTTCCCATTCATTTCTGGCTGAAAGAGCTGCTGCTGTCCAAGGATTAAGCTGAGAGGCAGCCGCTGCTTGGTCCCACAATGACTCCTACAGGAGCTTCAAGACCACAGGCACTATGGATAAAGAGAAAACACCCTTCTGAGAAGGTGCTGAGACTCCAGAGCTGGAGAGCCAGTCACCACGCTGCCACACCACAGGAACAAAGCAAAACAAGGACTGATGGATCCTTCTATCAGCCATGCAGCTCTTGAAGAAAAAAAAAATCTTGTGCATCAGAGTGCATGAGACCAACCCAACACCAAAACTGCAACCCTGCTGCAGGAACAGAATGAAAAGAGCCCCACAGGATCCTAACAATACTGCGGGGTAAAGATATTGTGAAGAGAAGTGAATAACCTGACTATCTCACAAAGAGCCACCACCAGAATTACCTTACTCCTGCCATAAGCACTAGTCTAATTTGGGTCAGGAATAGCAGCAAATTGCACCATGAGGGTGGCAATTAGAGGAAGCCATTGGCCACTCAGTGTCCTGGCACCACAACCTGGGAGGCAGCAAACCAACAGCACCACAAGCACCACACCCTGCCAGCCCCTGCCTTGCATTTAAGCTTCCTGAGTTGTTACTCAGGCAGTGTATGGCACACGGTGGTGTTAATTGACCAATGTGTGTTTTTCAGTAGGATTTCTCTCATGCTGCTCTCCACGCACAGAAATCTGAGTGCAGGAGCTACGTGGTGGTGCTCAGGAAGATGGGGCAGCCAGCAAGCAGCTTAGCACAGGGATTTCAATAGTTATGCAAATGTCTGTCCTTGCTCAAGATGCTATCAATTAATTAGGCACCACGCTCACACAGCTCTAATGGAAGTAACACAAAAAGGGAGACGTTGACATTGTGCCTTTAAGATTTCCCTGAACAAATTACAAGTCTTTGAAGTGAGGCCCCAACTGCGATTATTAAGCTTCATCACAGCATTAGAAAGATTAAGATTTCATTTCTAGGAATTATTTCAGATTTAGACTCAATTTAGAGACATTATTCACAGAGTCAACAGATGCAGAGCAGGTTTAATCTCCTGCAGTACCCAGCCAGGAATTCCTGCAGGGTAGACTGAAAAATGAGTAAGGGAAAGGTAGCACTGACACAGCTACAGACACATCAGCTTGCTCAGAACAAGAGGGGCTGCCACAACCAGAGGTGGCAGCAGAACTGGGGTGGCACACAGCCTCATATGCACTCCTCCTGTGCCAGATGGGAATTGACTGCCTGAGTGTCTTATGTCACACCCAGCCAGCTGTAATCAGACCTCACATCATGCTGACAACACCTCACCACCCTCCGTCACCTCTGTCCTGTGCAGAGTCACTCGGGAAAACACAGAACGTGCCTCAAGAGCTCTGCAATAAAGTTAAAAAGGAGTCAGAGAGATTAATCCTGCATAGAAAGGCTGCTCCAGCAGAGCTTGGTCACTCACTCAGATATGTTCACTGGCACCGTGATCAGCACTGCTTAAAGAAGCCAGCAGTTAAGCAGGGCTAAGACCAGCAGGGCCCCAGACCACGAGCAGCGCCAGCCTCCCCACAGCACCTCCCTAACTGCTCACCCTGCATGCATCTAGGAAGGAAAAGGGGCACAAGCACTCAGCGTGAGGCTGAGAAGGTACAGGAGGCACAGAGATGTGAGGCAGCTGTTTGTAATGGGGCAGACACTGATCTCTGTGGATGTGTTTTTGGATACAGCCAGGAAGCAGAGGATCCTTCCCTGCAGCTGTCACTACACAGAGGAGGCAGCAACACAGCCTGGGAGCTCAAACAGCCACAACTGAGCCATGCAATGTGCCCCCCTGGGGCTCCGGCAGTGGCACCCAAGTGGCCTATGGGGGGGGTATAAGGAGGATCTGGGGGAGACTATGGGGGCCATGCAATGCAGCCACCCAGCCTGATCCTTTCTTCCCCGCTGCTGGGAGGCTCTCACACTGGAGGTCAGAGCCTGAGTTCCTGCACGTGTCCTCCATGCTCCAGCAAGAGGCAGAAGTGCAAGCAGGAGCACAATGCTCATGAGCTTCTCTCTGAGCTCCCCCAAGGGCTGGGCAGCCTCTGCTGCGAGGTCTTTGGCTGGAGCCTCCCCAGCAGGCAGCTGAAGGTGCACAAGTTACGTGTTCCAACCCGACTGGGAGCGCTGAGCTGCCTCTTCATAAATGCCCTCATCCCAACATGAAACAACAAGTGGCCACGGCGTGAAAGGAGAGTTACTGACTTCTCATCACCTCATTGTTGGCAGCCTAGGAAAGTGTCAGAGCAGAACTGGGACACCTCAACCCTCCTGGCGGGGTGACGGCGAGGAGCTGGAAGTGAAATAACTCCTTAATCCCTATGAAAGGCACAGCGTGCCCCAGAGCTACCAATGCATTTCAGCAGTGAGAAACGTCACAAGGACAAACACCTTTCTGCTCACAGGCACGGAACTGCATCAAGATTCGGACCAAGTGAGTTTTCCTTTTTAACAGCTCATTCTTTAAGGTGGGTAGAGACAGTTTTCAGTCTCTACATGCTCCATCCCTTCAAGGCATCTCATGATCTGAAAACTCAGCAAACAAAAGGAAGCCCCTGGGGCCAGACAGCCACGGCAAGGATGCCCGAGAGGCACCGAGGGCCCAAGCGAAGGCAAACCTGCCCTAAGAGACGCGCACAGCAGAACACCTCACTGACGATTCGGGGCAGGACACGAGGGAATTCCCGCAGCCCCGTGCTGAGGGCGGGCCGGCCGAGCTCTGGGACGATCCCCGTGGCTTTAAGCCCGAGATAACCCACCCCGGCCTCAGGCTGAGCCCCACAGCCCCCAGCTAGGCCCAGGCCGGGCCGGCAGCCCTCAGACCCCGCGGCAGGGCCGGGCCCGGGGCGCTGGCGACACCCAGAGCGGGGGGAGCGAGGCCCGAGGCCCCGTCTCCATGGCAACGGGGCTTAGGCCGCAGCCGTCACCTCGCAGCTGAACTCCATCTCGGCGTCCATGGTGACGATTCGCACCGTGAAGGTCTTGGGCTGCTTCCGTTTGAGCGAGCTGAAGCTCATGCGGGACGCGATGGCCCCGGCCATGGCGTGGGAAGAGCTCAGCGCCGGGGGCCGCGCCGCGGGGGCAGCGCCATGGCGGCGGCAGCGGCTCCGGGCCGCGCCGAGCCCAGCCTCAGAACGGCGTCTCGCTATTGGTTCCGAGTTCGGGTCGTCCCGCCCTCCGCCCCGCGGGTCGCGCAGCACCGAAACCAATCAGAAGCGGAGTGACGGGGAAAGGGGAAGAGAGGGAGGTGCGGATTGGGCAAAACGGCCGCTCGTCAAGGGGAAGGAGCGGGGGTAGACAAGAGGGCTTCCTGCCCACACGTTGGGGCGCGGATGTGGCGCCCTCTTGCGGCCGGAGGAGAGGGCAACACCCTGCCGTCGTGAATGAGCTGAGCGCCGTCCCCATCCTGCCGCTGCGGTGGCGTGGGGTGGGGGGCACTGCCCGGTCCTGGCCCTGATGCAGGGGGGTCTCAGAGCCCCGACCTCTTGGGGATGCACTGTGGGGAAAGTAGGAGTGGGATAATGGGAATGGGACCGGTACTGGGATAATGGGAACAGACAGCGGTCGGATAACAGGGCTGGGGCATCACTAGGATAACAGCAGCAGGACAGTGCTGGGATAATAGGAAGAGGACAAGGACTGAGACAACGGTACGAGACTGGGACTGGAATAATGGGATAGGACTGAGACCAGCATGGGGATAATGGGGCAGGATCAGAACCAGCACTGGGATAGTGGGATGGGCACTGAGACCAGCACTGGGTCATAGGACAGGAATAGGGACCATCACTGGGGTAATGGAATTGCAGTGGGTCACAGCATGGGAATAACAGGATGGGACCAGAACCACAGCTGGGATGGCAGGGTGGGAATGGGGATGCAGATCAGTACTGGGATAATGAAGCTAGGGTTGAAACCATGACTGCCATGAGGATAACGGTATGGGACAGTAACAACATCACAGGAGAGGACTGGAACCAGCATCAGGAAAATGGGATGAGGACTGAGACCGGCATAAGAATTCTGGGATTGGAATAAAAGTGTTGGGCCACCCTTCCAGGCCCCATCTCAGCACCACAGTGCCCCCGCACACCACAGAATGGGGCCTCTGTGCTGTGGGGTGGGTGAGGGCTGAATGGGACCATTCATGGTGCCACCCCCCCCGCCCCGTCCAACCGCCCCCACAGGGACCCTATGGCCGACAGCAACGCTGCAACCCCTTGGGGCCCCGGCAACGGCACCCAAGTGGGCATGGGGGGCTGGGGGCCATAGGGGGAAATACGAGGAGGGGGGGGGAGTATGGAGGGTCTGGGGGAGCTCCAGGAGGTATGGGGTATGAAGGAAGCAAGGGGACTGGAAGGTACATGGAGAGGGGGCATGGTGGGTATTGAGGAAATGAGGGTGTCCGGGGAGGGTATGGGGAGCTATGGGGGGGTATGAGGAGTCCAAGGGGACCCAAATTAGTAGAAGGCGTATGGGGGAATACGAGAGGTATAAGGGGGGATCAGAGGGGCATGGGGAATTAAGGGAGGGTCTGGGGGAGGCGTGATGAGCTATGGGGGATATGGGGGACCAAGGGAGTCTGTGGATCTATGGGATAGTATGAGGGTGCCTGGGGGACAGTAGGGGCATGGGGATCTATGGGGGGATCCAGGGGAGCCTGGGGAGCTATGGAGAAGACTGGAGGCTGGGGGGACATAGGGAGCTTTGTGGGAGCACAGGGAGGGACCAGGGGGCATGAGGGACTAAGGCAAAAATGGGAGGGAGTGAAAGGGGACCCCGGGGAGTGGGGGGGCAGGGTAACAAGGCAGGGGGGCACAGGGACCTGAGGGGATCCCTCTAAACCCCCATCCCTGGTAATGCCCCGTGCCCAGCCCTGCCGCCCTGTGCCGAGGATCCACACCTTTGGAAAGGGGGAGCAGGCAATGAGGAGAGACCCCCACATCCCCCCCACCATGCGAGGCTGGCTGCACAAGCAGGTGGGGCTGGGGGGAACAGTGGGACTGGGGGGGGGTGCGAGGTTGT